ATTGTACAAAATAACGCTTTGAGAATCTTTTCAAATAAAAACATATGCTACGATTAAGTGTATGTTGGAAGAACTACAGTAGTTGAATGTAGGTAAACAATTTCATATGTTATCTAGTTCTCATTTTCATATTTAAATAACAAAATCATTTATTACTACGACATTTAGAAAACTTCAGAAAATACATACATATTAGATAATGGCGCATCCGTACACTGAATCATACAAAAAAATGCTGAATACATAAGTATAAGAATAAATAACGTCAAAGTAGAAAAGGTATCAAGCATCAAATACCTGGGTTTTATTATCCATGAGAATTTGAAATCGTCTAGTCACACACTAGATAAAACAACTCCAAAAGTAAAATAAACATTTATAATGCATTTTTCTTGGTACAATTCAGATATGTTACCCATTAAATTTGTAAAACGATTCTCAAAATTTTAAATAACCAACAAAAGTGTAATTTCTGATTCTGATCACACATGATCTGCATAACTATGAAACAAGATCACATAATAATTTGTACCAGATTCCTACTAGAACGAATATAGGATTAAATAACCCTGTCACTGATGCAGTAAAAACACTCTATCAACAAGTGTAAAGAAATTATGTAAAAACACTCAAACGTCATTTGAATTGTTGAACTTATTGTATTGAATAAATATTTATTTAAACAAAACATAGGACATATTTCCCAGAAACCTACTTGAACGCTATTTCACCAATATGGCAGCTCAAGCCAAAAAAACGACGAATCAAATCGAAAAACCGGAAAAAAATAACATCGATTTATAAAAAATTTCTCCAAAACTTTCTAGGCAACAACAAAATTGTTTGTTTCCAGAATATATAATGTATGGCACATGTTTGAAAATGGCCTACAATATATGGTTTCACTATCAGTCAGTTTCTGAGAAGAGTCAGCCAAGTATGCCCAAAACAAACACTCACCTGTCAGCTGTGTTGCTCGTCTAACCCTAACTGCATACTACAGTTATGGTAACTGAAACAAACAGAAGCACTTAGTTAGCTTGTTACAAATTAACAAACACAAAACTAAATATAGTATGTAATAGGGACTGGAACTAATAGTACTGACGTTCAGGCTACACATTCCACGACAAATACTGATGGATCACAGTAAATACTGATCATGTAATGTAACATTCGCCTCAAGACGATAGTAAAATCCATTGACAACGACGGAACGATCAATAAGTACTGATGGCATTATAGGCTACGGTAAATACTGATTATGTGACATTCGTCTAAGGTTTGCATGAATCCAGCATTAAACAAATATATAAGTATAGTTGCTACTGATGAAAACTAGGCTCAATATAGTTACAATGAAACAGACTTACCACAGCTGGGACTTGTTGCTTCATCTTCGGAGGTATCCAGCAGTTCTTTACAAATCACGCTCACAACTCCTAACAAACATTCACTTATTTATCAATCGACACATCACCAGTTCTCACAACGCACAACTATTACGCGCGAAAAGCTTGAAACCGTCGAGAGACCAACGAACTCATCGCCGCGATAGTACCGACAAGACTGATCGAGAGGCGCGTGGCGGTGCTGCCGGCTGCCCGTGGGGCGCAGCCAGCGTTCAGCGCATTGGTGCAGCGTCATCCCCACCCTTTGCTAAGCGCAAGAGCACAGTGTCGGCACGGGTATCATGTAAAAAACCTATAAGACGTCAAAAAAAACCTATGAGATGTCAACTTGCAGACTAGGTAGTTTTTAGGGTGCAAACAGTCATTCCACGTTTGCTCACTAGGATCGTTGTGAACGTCCATCTATGGAGGAATCACTCAACTAAACTACGCATAATTGGTTGCATAGTTTTGTGAGGCTGAGTGATCCGGGTCTGTAGTTTTTATCTCTGAGAAGAAAGTTGGTCGAATAGCAATACCGCATCTGGATGATTATTTGTATTGGTCTGCATGTGTATAAAATCGACAGTGTACAGTGAATATAATCATTTATCATTTAAATTCAGCAAACTTGTATATGTAATTTCCAGAATGGATAAGAGAAAGTGGATGCGCAACTAATTTCTAGATTTGAATCTCAATTAAGTGTATTTGAGACAAGAACCCAATCTAATTATCATCAACACATACAGGGTGGGCCAAAAGAAGCTGACCTATTTTAAACTTTAATAACTTTTTTATTTATTAATAGTTTTTACAAAACTAAAATATATTTAAAGGAGTTTTTTTTCGTATTAAGTATGAAAAATAATGTCGCGTAAGTGACGCACATTTTCTCTTTCACACACAACATTCCTTTCCAAGACATTTTCCATAACTGCCTCTAATGTTTCCCGATTTATGGCTCGAATTTCCATTATGATATTGTCCATAAGTTGTCTTAAGGCTCGAGGTTTATTGCGGTAAACTCTTTCTTTCAAATATCCCCATAGATAAGAATCTGGCGCGGTTAAATCAGGGGAACGTGGGGGATATTCAATTGCCGATCTTTTTGAAATCAGACGTTCTCTAAAGAAGCCTCTTAGCAATGCCATTGTGGCTCCAGCTGTATGAGCTTTGGCTCCATCCTGTTGGAACCACATATCAGGTCTATTTTCAAGCGCTGGAATCAAAAAATGTTCAAGCATAGATCTATACCTCTCGCCAGTAACAGTCACCGCAGTTCCATCGCCATTTTGGAAGAAATAAGGCCCAATAATACCCTGGGTGATAACACCACACCAAACCGTACATTTAATGGGGTGTAATTCTCTCTCGTGTACAGCCCTTGGATTTTTCAGATGAAAATGCGCCTCATCACTCATTATTTGGCCAATTAAAAAATTTTCTTCCACTCTAACCAATTGCTGAAAACGAATGGCATAATTTAGTCGTTGTGCATAATCTTGTGATCGTAAATGCTGAACCATTTGAATTTTGTAAGGAAACATCCGCAAATGTTTCAGAACTCTCTCTATGTTTTCTCCAGTGAAAGCTAAACGTGGTCGTCCAGTTCGGGGAAGGTCCGATACAGAACCCTGGATTTGAAAACGTCGAATAATGCTGCGGATAGCCCCAGTGGATGGGGCGTTTCGAAGATTAAAAAATCTTCGATAAGCTCTCTTGGTGTTTACAATCGAATGATTAAGTTCATAGTAAAATTGTACGACTTTGGTTCTCTGGATTAGATTAAGTCTCTCCATTCCAAAATATCCAGAGCTCTACTTTGTAAATCTGAAAAAAAATCAAATATGTTAACTTGGGAAAAACTTATGAATTTTTAGAATCAGTTAGGAACTTTTGTACAACTTACAACTTAGACAATGCCATCTCAGAAGCAGATTTTACATCACTTCAGAGCCAAAGATTGATAACAAGCCTCATGACGTTCAGGCAACACGTACAACTAAGTGCTAAGTTGACATCTTGTAGAATAACCTAAAGTATATTCAGATAAGAGATAGACCGGACATAAACAAGACCACGTGATGATCGAACGCTGTAACAATCGGCAGGGACGTATTAGGAGTCACGCAGTACATATTTTAGATAGTAGATGCTGCTTTGCGTAACTTTGTAGTAAATTAGCACAATTCGATGTGTATACGATTGGTGATGGATATAGGATCATGTGGGGGTGGAGTAAGAAATATATAATGATGTAAATATACAAGGGTTTCAAAATTTTCGCTTCGATTTCCAGCTTCGGATGCCGTCTGATGTTTGGTGAAATACAGTCGAATATAATCTCAAAATGGCGTTTAAATTAGCCTATAATTATAACAAGGTATAACAATAACAACGACAAACTCAACAACTTAATAAGATAACAAATGAAAACGTCCAAAGAAATATCAAATTGCAATGATGCACACGACATACGTAACACGTCTGAACCTGAATGTGACTCTGCCTTGATACGACTGCTCTGCCGCTCGGCATAGGCATTTAATTGCGAATTGACCAATGAGGGCTCCTGTTTGACGTCGAGACGGCGGCGTTAGCGTGAAAATCACCCGAACCTTTTGTTTACATCCGGTCTATCTCTTATCTGAATATACTGTACATAATGTCAAAAAAAAAACAGCATAATGTCAAAAAAATCGGGATAATGTCACACTAAACTGCCATCAAATTCGGAATCTACGCACACATTTTACCTAGAACGAGCTTCCATCTAGATAATAGACTCGTACGTATTTTGCATCGCCAAAGCCGAACCTGATGTCATTGCACATGTATCTAAGCCCGTTAAATATTATGTTGATTTAATTATTTAGCGAAAAATTGCAACACTATGCGTTTTTGCAACTTTTAGGCGCTAAATATCCATTTTCTTATTGATGTCTATTGAAGGTTTGTATCACGAGATAATTTGAGATGTGGGGCGCTGAGTACAGGGTGATTCACAGGTCGTGAAACGACGAAAACAGTGCACTCTAGGAAAAAACAAGAGTAATTATTTGTAGCAACTTGAAGGTAAAACTCTAAAACTTGCCCGTTTCAAAAAAAAACGGTGGCGTACTATTGTAACTTGGAAAAATAATGCCACCAATCCCCTTCATCTCCGCCACTAGTGCACACGTTAATTTTAAGTAAAGACTTTTAAATGTGGACAAAAATGACAGTTAACGGTTTTGAACATATTAAGTAAAATGTTTTTTATTTGTGGTCACGACTTGCGAATCACACCCTGTATAAGTATAAGAAATTGTAAAGAGCCATCGGACCCGATTTTAATTGAAAAATTGGTAGTGAATCCTAGAACTGATTTGACATCGAATTCAGAATATAAGCACCCAGTTTACCTGGAAAACAAGCTCCCAGAACTGGATATTTTTTATCAATCGTTTTTAGCGACACAAAAAACGTATTATAAGAATCAGAGCCGCTTTGCAGTGCTTTTGAAATGAGAGTTATTTGCACCCGGATCACGGACTGTAACGCACTCAGCTCGAGTTATTCCGAGGCACTGGAAAGCGGCTCACAGGGCTTAATACATGTCAAAAGTGTCAAACTTGACAGTGCAGCAGTGACACTTCATGCGTGGGTGATTTGTTGTTAGACGAAAAACAAGACAAAAATATGGGTTTTCACAGATTTTATTAACACAATTAAAAAACTTTGGACGCTGTAGACAGAAAAGCATTTTTTGAATAAATTTACAGTAGTATCGTAGCATGTCATCAGCTACGGTAAGAAACTGTTCTCAATTCATGAACATTGGTGTTCCTATTTATTATTCTTCAAAATATTTACTAAATTCACTTCTTAAGTTAATAATTCTATGTGTAATTGTGTATTACTTGTCTTCTCTGGTGATTGCTTACTCTTTTCTTGCAGATGCCCCTACTGTATGATGATACTGTAGCTTTTGGAGACGATGATGGCTCTGGAGTTAGAAAAAATGGTCTAAGGTAGTGCATTTTCCAACTAGCAACTCTTATAACTATTGTCCCTATATTTATTACACCAAGAAGATTTAGCATTAATGCTACAATGTCAATTTTGTATGAATATTCTTTTACATATTTTTTCAATCTGTAATTTTACTTTTTTTTTCTATTAAAATTACATGGCTATGCATTTTTTGGGTATTCATAAAGTGATTTTTAATTTTACCTCAAACAGTTTTAAATATGAACACCATTTTTCATATCATTCAATTTAGTAAATTTAGATTCTCCTTTTGGAATACAGATTTGCTAGTTATGATAATGACTGTTTAATTTTGTGAATTTTTTGAAATGTAATAAATTTGAACTAAACATAGGATCAGTTTTTAATTTTATCAGTTGTGTAAGGTAGTTTTTGCATGTAAAAGGTTATCTGGTGCTTAATCAGATATCCTGGTTTACAGTTTTTAATTTTAGACTTCAGTTTTTATTTCACAGGACATATATCTTAAACTGAAGAAATATTCAACATGCACTTAGTATTTCACAGATTATTTAACTTCATTTTATATAATTTCAGACATCCATATGTAACATTGTTCCACTTAGCATTCAGAATAGCAGCAATAGTTACCTATATGCTATGTGGCTGGTTCAGTGATAGTTTCATAACTAGTTTTGTAGCAGTTGTATTATTGCTGTCCATGGACTTTTGGACAGTCAAAAACATCACTGGTAGATTGATGGTTGGTCTAAGATGGTGGAATTATGTAGATGATGATGGCAAATCTCATTGGGTGTTTGAATCTAGACAGGTTATTGTTTTCTCTTATTTTTTATTCATTCTACCTGTTAAAATATTAGTAACAAAATTAATTATATTTTTAAAGCAAGTTATACACTGGGGTTATCAATGACTTTCTCAAATTAGGGAAAATTGAAGTAAATAACTTTAGCAAAATATTTATTTTGGTTAATCGTCAGAGGCAGATCTAAGATAATGCACTGTGCTTTGGGCGCTAGAAGGCAAGGAGGGCCCACAATACAATTCCAGAGCCCCAGAATAGATAAAAATTGTGTTTGCTCATGCATGAATCTGTAACATACAAAATAAGAAACAAAATTATGTGTCATTTGTCGATATGGGGAATTTTGAGATATTACTAGATAATCAGCTGCTAACCTACCGTTTTGGATACTCGCGAAAAATACAATATAAAGATATCCTTGAACCTTTTCCTGGTTGTTAATTTTTTATAACTTTCAGACTGACTCACAAAATATTGCTAATGAAAGAGAAGCAAGAATTTTTTGGACAGCCCTGGTCTTGACACCCTGCCTATGGGGTATCTTTTTTATCATTGCCTTGTTTGGACTCAAATTGAAATGGCTGGTAGGTAGTATTTTAAGGATATTCAAATAAGGTCATAGAGGAAGGCACAAAATGAACCTTATGGTTGGAATTCTTTGTAGCATCTTTATTCAAACAATAAATGAAGTGAGTGTTGCAAAAACATGGTATATTGAAGGCAAATTAGATATGACTGATTTCTCTCATAGTTCCAAGGCATTTACGATACCACTATAAATATTGTAAATAGGCAATGTTTTTCAGCTCATTTATACAGGGTGATTCACAAGTCGTGACCAAAAATGAAACATCATACAAAGGACTGCGCTTTAAGGGGGTCTTCTATGTAACTTTTTTTCCTCAAGGGCTTCATTACAAAGATACAGGGTGTTGAAGTTTTCGTGCATTGTTTTCGTAAAAATAAAAAAAAACAAATTATAATCAAAGCTTTATTTCAATAAATGCTCAAAAAGACCACCATTCTGACTTATACAAGTGTGACATCTTTTTTTAAAAGAAAAACGTACTTCCGCAAAATTTGTAGTGGCTTGAATTTGATGAAACGCATTATCTATTCTTTGTTGTAACTGATCAATAGTATTAATTTGTTCAGCATACACTAGTTGTTTAAATGCACCCCACAAAAAGAAATCCAGGGGGTTCAAATCAGGAGACCTCAGAACATCATCTAACACATTTGCTATGTAATTCATTAGGTAAAATAAGTACGAGTTTGCATTTAAACGTTATAGCAATTACATGTATGAACAGTTGGCCTTTGAAAATGCCACACCAGACATTTCTTGAAAATCTGTGTTGAAACCAGTGGATTCTTACAGATCAAGGATTTTCTAACGACTAAATATGTTAATTATGAGCTTTAAAGGTTCCACTCCTCGTAAAAAGCGATTCATCTGACCACAAAACCAAATCAGTAAAATCTGCATTTTGATTATGACATTGCACATTTTGTCGATGGCAAGGATGTAAAACTTCCTGATTTAAAATTTCACTCTTTTAAAGGTACATTTCATTGAAATCACAACTAGTGTGAAAAAATGGTGCAGTTTGATTCAATTTGGAGCACCACTTGCAAACGGGTATATAAATGTCTGATGTTTCCACTGATGAATACTCACTTCTTGTTTTAGCACTACTAAGGTGCAACACTATTCTTTCTTGCTGAACATTTGAAACAAGATAGATTATACCTGGTTGGTATTGGACGTTCCCAACCCTTAAATTGAAGTAATATCAAAAATAGTATGATTCAATGATTTTGGTTCATTTTTGTCACTGGTGGATGCCTTTATATCAAATTACACATGTTTTCTCCGCTAAATTATGTAATAATAAAAAGTAAATCTTGAACATTTAGTTGCATTATAAGTTTTTCAAACCGTTTTCCCACCCTATGTAATTGTCATTAAAGTAAGAATTCTAAAAAAGGGTATAACATATGAAATTTATTGAGATTGTATATTGAATATTAAACATTATTTATTATTTTATATCATAAAATTCTTGATATGTATTTTTTCAGCTGCTAGTAACCATTGCTTTGGTGTTGAATGGCTCAAATCTCTATGGCTACATCAAATGTAAAATAGGCAACAAGGAGAGTGTTGGATCTGTCACCTCAGATTTTCTTAGGAAACAAATACTACAAAATGCTGTAACAATGGTGATGAAACAGAACAATGCTCCTCCATCAACTAATAGTCCAAGCACAAACACTATTTGAACAGTTTTTATTTATGTTTTGTTTGTATTTTTACATTTTTTGTGATACGTGTAATTCTTGCTTATATGAAATACATGGTATAAATTAAGAGTTTTTTGTTGAGTTTTATTATTTGAACCCGAATCTTCAAATGGGTTATTGAACCTTATATGTCCAGAACATAAAAAGAATAATACGTAAGATGAGAAAATTAGTCAAATGAGGTTAATTTGGCTATATTTTGAGCTTTTCTTTAGTCGTTCAGAATTACCGTACTATATAAAAACGAAAAAAAAAAGTGCTCTAGGTGAGGCTCGAACTCACAACCCCGGCATCGCTCACGACTACTGTCTTATAAGTACCGTGCGCTAACCAATTGCGCCACTAGAGCCTTATCGGGAAATTTTCAGATGCGCTATAAAGCCGTAGACGATAAAAAGAAGTAAAAATATGTAAATTTTCTGGAGTCTCGTCCACTTATGGATAAATTTCCATAAGCTTTTCACTTAAATTAGTAATTTTGAAGCTATAGACCTACTCTCAAATGTACGTATACACAAGTATTCATACCGATACCTAAATTCCCTGAAGATTACACCAATACGAGGGAAATGCAAAAATGGTTGATTTTAGATGTTAATCTGTTCATTTTGACACACAGGTTGTTTGTTTTGCTCTGTTCCCAATCAAAATTCGTACATAAGTTTTTTTTTATGTTCTCTAAGATAACATGGCCACGCAAGACAAGTATTGAAATATACTCTACTACACATTAGAAGACTATCCGTAGTGACATTTTTCTCGAAATCCATGCACACCGCTTAAAAAATGCAAATGAAGATTGGAAAACTGGCGTTTTGACGTTCTATATGAACCATTGTTACCCCGGGATAGACATACGACATCCGTTTTGGTGGTTGTCATTCTTGTCACCTAGATTGCTGCGTTGCCAGCTCATCGGACAATTTTCCTAAAATGTTATATAAAAAAGAAACTTTGAATAAACATTGAGTGATACCAATGGAGATATAGGCAGCAGCGGTGGCCGCAGTAGTAGACTCTTCGGTCTCCTGATCAGTCGCCGTGCGCTGTGCGGGTTCGAGTCCCGTCCCAGGAGAAATTTTTCTCTTGGCTATGGATGTTGTGATTGTCCGTAGGTGGTAGACGGTCTCGGACTGTCGAACGTGGAGGTACCACCCGGCGGATCTCGTAGGCGAAGCCAGAATGTGTGCATGTTGCATGCACACGTGTTCCCTCGCCAGAGTCCGTGTGGTGTCCCCCCCCCTGAGCTTAACCTAGTCTGATCCTTATTTTGGCCACCCTGTAATACATTATTATAAAAAGAAATTTACAGAAACTTGCACTAATCTAACGTTCTTGTAAGTATTCTTACATACATTTCTGAAAAATCTCAAAACTATTAAGAAAGCCTCGAACAACAGGTCCAAGGAATTGGTGATAACAGAGGTAGCAAAATCGTCCGATGAGCTGGCAATGCCGCAATCCAAGTTCAACTTTCAAAACATATGTCTATCTCGGGGTAACGATCCAGTCTATTAGAACGTCAATGCGGCAGTTTTATCAATCTTGATTTGCATATTTTTAAGTATTGTGCAACGATTTCGAGAAAAATTCAGCTACGGATAGTCTAGTAGAGTATATTTCAATAGGTGTCTTGCGATGTTATCTTTACTCGGAACAATTTCATTTATTAGATTTATAACATGCTATACCATCAGAATACACGTAAAGTCAAGGAAATGATAAATGTAGGCATTTCTGTTTTATATTATTCTGAGGTTCCATGTCAAATCACTGAAAGATTGACACTGACAGGTGACAGGAGGGTGTTTTCGTCAACAAGAAAAAGAAGTGTCACAGTTGTGTATAAAGAATCTAATATTTCCACAAATTTGAAATTGTCTACACGTCACCTTTTGTAAATGCATAATTCGAAGTGAAATGATTCCAAAGATCGCGAAATAATGAGTTGGTTCGATGCCACTGGTTTTGCTAGCATAGCAAAATCAGCTTTGAAAGAGGCCCAAAGGACCATCGATAAAGCCTTAGATATCAAAGAGGACGACCCTAGTATAGCTCCAGCGAATACCCCAGTGGACCCCAATAATGAGGACTTCTTTGGAACTTGGGGCCTTGTGCAGTCTGGTACTGCTAAGGAGACGAAGAGGTCTACTACTTTGGATACTGTGAAAGAACCTAGGATGGCCTCCAGTCTTTGGGGGTCTTTTACGGGGTCTTTTTTCGATAGTGGGAAATCCAGTGAAGCCAAAACAACAGCACATGGCTTAGAAGACAGTGGTGAAGGAAGCGAACAATTTAGCAAAAGTAAATTAGTAGTACAAACGTCTGAGGATGATGCTCAGCAGTTGGTGGCCTCAGATAGTGATCTGTCCAGTAGTATTGTTCAAAGCAGTGAGAGTAAGTGGCAAATAATGTTGAAAATATTCTGCAATATTTTTCATAGGATATTTATGAGAATGTCTCCTTGATGCAAAGTTCTTGCCCCAAAATGAATAACTGTCATGCTGATGTTACTTCTTTCATCATCAAATGAATAATCTTTCTTGTATAGCAAGTGAAATTTGCTAGTCAATATATAAAACACCAAAAATGGATCAGAAAGAGCGCATGAGGAGTTTAACTGCGAAATTTGTATTCTCCAATTTGCAAATTTTACAGAACTGATAAAAGTCTGTATTACCTTTGGGTGTGTTATATTCTAACAATTGCTGCTCAAATAAGTGCAACTGATAAAACATATTTTGAAGGGTCATAGTTTTGTTTTGTGAACTTGGGAAATATTAGTTTTGCTGTATAACAGCACAAAAATTTTTAGTTTTGACATACAATGACAATTGGTCAAGACTTTCTTACATATGAAGTTTAGTATAACAACATGTAAAACCATCATGAACCACAGGATAAGGTTCTAATCGTTCACTCATTATTCATGGTTACATGGACAGTTATAAATGTTTCTGACTGGCTGACCAGAGAATTGTAATGCAGAATGAGAGTTTTTGGAGACCCTATATTTTGAATAGAATATAAATGTACTTGTACTGCATCTGAAAGTGGGGAATGTTAGATGAAGTCCATTATAAATTGGAGAATTTGACTTTTGCAGTTAGACCGCTTGCATGACATTTTAGGGTATTGTGACAGATGAACTAAGAAAACATGAATATATAAACAATACCACTTGCCACAATACATTATTACCTGTATCTGAGTTCATATCTCTTTTATATTCCTATACTCTCTATAACCAACACACTAATTGACTATAAGGATATTGATTGATTATAAATCAAACATTTAGAAATAAATAGAAGCGCTTATCATAAAAGATTTTATTCTGCAAGGATTCATCATTAAGATGAATTTGATTTTTAGAACCCTATTGTTGTAAGAAATTTTATCTGTTATGATGCTGTGGTGTGTGGGTTAATTTTTCTTACCACAACCCTAAAATGAATAATACTTATAGACACCTTGTTGTACTTTTGCTTTTATTCAGATCATGCTTTTGAGTAGATAAGCATAAATAATAATATACTAGGGTCTTTAGCAAACATTTAAGGGATCATTTTAACAATGAAACTTGAACATTTTTGAAAAACAGCTTTGTTTTAGAAGATACAAGCTAATACAAACCCTCTAAAATAAGAGTTTTTATCCATAAATCTTTTTTCTTATTTCCCCATGTCTTTACCAATAGTGGAGAGCTGTTAAACATCAAAGTATCAAAACCTCAGATCCCAGTTCCACAAAAAGGATTTTTGTGAAACCTTTTCTATTGCATTATTGAAAAACAGCTTGAACAAAAAAGCTTACCCATCAAAATTGAACAGTTTCATTTATAACAATTTTTTGGAAAAAATTGATAAAAAATTAAATATGGTGAATTAGAAAACAGTGGCAATATTCCTGGGATCAAGTAGATCAAAAAATGATATAAAAAGTTAATTTAAACATGGGTCTCAAAATACCCCCTTACCAACATACTTGAAGCTATAATTTTCGAAATTTAGAAAATTTATATCTGAGTTGTTAAAGAAATTTGTGAATTTTGACGTCTACAGAAGAGACTGAACATTATTTTCTATGGCACTGACTCTTTTGAAGCATCTTTTACATTTTTGAATAAAGCATTCAATTTGACATGATGCACCTTTTTTTTCAAAGTACTCTTTTTGGTGAAAAATTGGCTTGAATGCTGAATTCATATAAAAAATCATTCTACTTCTGAAATATACTGAAATCGGACAAATTTGACATTGAAAACTGTTTGTATTGTATTAGGAGTGTAATGCTATTTTTCTGTAGTGTTATTTGAATAATGTTCATGTTTTGTCCTTGTTCAGTCTCATCACTGCCTTAGAAATTATGCTGTATCTTAGTAGCAGCGCAATTTAGGGCTTTTGTTTATATTAACTTTTTTTTAGAAATATTCCCTACCACTGATTCACATATTTTCATTTAAATTACTCCAGTAGTTTGAGAGAATTTGAAAATATCAGGAAATTAAAAAAAATTAAAATCAAAAGCAGCCAGAATTGATTGGTACACTTTTTGATATGCGGTATTTCAAAAATTGCAGAAATCCATGTGGAACTTGGGTCTGAAATTTAAATCTAAGGTAATTTCCATATTGCATAGTAGTTAACTTCACATGTGATTAAACAATTTATTTTCCAGAACATTATTGTTTATTGTACATCTATGAAACAAGACACTTTCTCAAAAACTGCTAGTGAACAAAATTATCCTGTGGTTATCAAAACAATCATTGCTTAAATCGTTCCCCATATTTAAAAGTCAGCATTTATTTTCAGTTGTCATTCTCAATTCTGTAACAGTCTTTAAGCTCTCATAAAACAGTTACAAAGCTAATCAAAAGTATAATTTTTATTAACACATGCCATTTTTATTTTAAGGTATTGCTGATTCAACATCAACCAATGTAGCTAGCCCATCTAATGATGGGAAAGTAGCAGAATCAAATTCATTAACCAAACAATCCAATGAGACAAGTGCTGTAAATAGTTCTGAAAGTGTTGATATTATAACTTTTAGTACAGAATGCACCACTAGTCCAGAATCAGATGTTCTTCAATCAGTCGAACAGTCCATGTCTGCATCAAGTTCAGCGTTAGGTATAAACTGTTTCAGTGCCGTAGATTTTTTGAATTCTGCCTTGGTTTTCTATTATATAACTCACTTTTGAGCGAAGTTTTGGTATATCAAAGATCATGGTTTGATGGAGAGAAAGGGTTCTGGTGCACCAACTACTAAAAAATATAGATCTCTTGATTAATTCATAAAATCAAAAACGCTGTTGCTTCCAGTGGCGTGGAGTAAAAATTTGCTAATAACTTTTTTATTTTTCAAAATGCTATGATGCTGGCCAACACTGTTATTCATTTTTTATCTGAAGTTTAGCAATAGTTTCTGTTGCGCTGTACGCCCAAGCGTGAAGCAAAACTTGATAACAGACCGTCGTTCAAAATTAATGTCATGCACTTTTATAATACAATACAAAAAACTGATTCATAAAAAAAATCGTTACGGACAGCGAAACTTGTACTGAAGGTGGATCACGTGTTCCCCTATCTCCCCTCAAAGCCCGGCGCATCCTGTGTTGCCAGATCGCTACATTGCCAGTCTCATCACTTGATTTACAGACCTTGTATGCACACATATGTTTTAATCATAGTTATGGGAAATTGCTATCCAGAATAAAATTAAATATGCTTATTTGAGTTCATATTAGCAATATTACTTGTCATTTGTAATGTTGTATTAGATTGTGAGTGGAGATGGAAACATGTAGAAGGCATACCAATGAACAACTATAGTATCTATCTTTACAGGTTTGAAGCCAATGTCAGAATCAGTAGAAATATTAGGTGATAGCTTAACTAGTCCCAGTTCAGTAGAAGTAATTGATAGCAATACAACTAGTCGACCACAGTCAAGGCATACAGATGAATTCGTATCACCATTGAATACACCTTCACCTTGGTCAGAAGATAAATCTAGGTAAATATCTTATCACTTGTTTTTCGTTTCTGGATTCTCTAATGTTGTAATGTAATGTAATTTATTATAAGCACGGTGGGACTCATGTTCCCGACTGACTCATTTTTTGCTCTTTGGGATACATGGTTACCAACAATTAAAATCCGTTAAATGCAGTTCAAATGACCTCTGTCGTACGTACTTTGTGTCGCTAAAACCGAATCTGGAGTCATTTTATTTCACGTACGTCTGATCTGTTCATTGTACATTCTATTATTTAATGAAAATTTGCAAAACTATGCTACATTTGCGACTTTAGGGTAATACAAAATTTCCTTTACCGGTGTCTATATGCGAACGATGCTCTGTACATTCAGGTAATTTGAGGCTCTAAGTTTGAATATCATCGTGAAAAAAAACTTAAAGGGTCATGGTGCCGAATCAGGGGTGAGAAAATGATGAAGAACTAACTATCCAGTGCCACTCGTGAATTCTAGCACTGAATTGAAATTGAATTCAAAATCTACGCACCCGATTTATCTATAAAATTAGCTTCTATCAGATCATATTATTAGCATTATTGATGCTACAATGTCCATGTTACACAATATAACACATATTATGTCTTCAAGACTACATATTTTTATACAAAATTTCACTACTATGAATTCTGGTTTTCCATGAGATATTTTTTTAATTTCCCTTTGAACATTTTCAAACTGACACACATCTTGATATAATTACTTAATTTATTAAATTCGTACAATCCATTTTGAAATACTGAATAATGAAAGTCTATACTCCCTCTAGTAGAATAACTACATTTTTTTAAATGAGTTGATAGAAGATTATTTTTTAACTTGAATATGAAAATGAAAACCAAGTTATTAAATTTTAGATATTTAGCCATTGTAGTTCTTTCAGCATAAAATTTATTCTAGTATATTTATTTTTATTTAAGATTATTCTCATAGTTTTATTTTGTAATATCTTCGCAAATGCGGGAATGGCTATTGAAAAGTTTGGAAATTGTGTAATTATTTTTTTTCAACAGATTTTCCATCTCTACTGTAGAAACGAATCTCGTATGCAATTTTTGAAAATTTACAAAGATTTCGATATCGGTGTATATTTCGCGAGTCATTCTATGCCATATGGAAACACGGCGAGACGTTGATACCATATTTTGTTTGTTTGTTGAAGATTCATTTAGCATTAATGCTACAATGGCAATTTTGTATAATTATTCGTTGACAGATTTTTTGAATCCATTCTCTCTAATTTTCCATCTTGTCAATTAAAATTATGAATTTTGAGTATTCATAAAGTGATTTTTTAATTTCACCTTAAACATTTTTAAATTCGAACACTGTTTAATACATTTATTTAATTTATTAAATTAATACTGGATTTTCAAATACAGATTTGCTAGTTATGCTACTATTACAATTTTGCAGATGAAAATCTATACTGCACCTAGTTTCGTGGTTATGATAATGACTATTTAATTTTTTGAAGTTTTCTAAATGTGGTAATAAATGATTTCTTAATTTGAACATGAAAATGAGAACTAAATAACATATGAAATTTTTCACATTCAACGACTATAGTTCTTGTAACATAGACTTTAATCCTAGCATATTCGTTGTTATTTAAAATGATTTTTATAGGTTAATTTTGTATAATTTGCAATTTTGAAAATATGGTTTTCATTTGCTGTAAACAATATAAAATGTGGGAAACAATAGTGTAATACATAATTTTTTGGGTAACTCTGTAGAAGTAATTTATCTTTTTCTGAAATTTTTGAAATAATGTATTCATAATGCTCGCAGTACTTTACTATCCACAAATATACCCAGATATTTAAACGATTCGACAACTTCATTTTTTTCATCATTAATCATGAGCCTAATTGTATTGTCACTTAAATGTTTGCCTACTGATATACATTTTGTTTTATTACTGTTTCAGTTTATTAACATTTACCCAATCCATAAATTTTTCAATATCACTATACATACATAATATTTCCAACTTTTGTTTTTGACTTCTATTTACTAAATAATTTCTATATATATATATACTTCTCCAGTCTTCGACGACACTTATATTTCACTATCACCCCGACGATGTTGCCCTCTTTTTCCACAGCGTACACGGCAATCGATTTAGTATCCCCTACTAAGCACTTCGTATCGAATAGTCAATATTCCATAAATTCTCAAACCCTCATAACTTTATCTCTTTCGCAGTAGCTCCATTGAAAAAATATCACCGGAAATCTTGGAGGTAGTCCCCGATGTGGACGAAAGCAGCATGGCAGACGACAGTATGTCATATACATCAGTATCAGAAGGTACAGCTGCCACTGTATTGGATTCGGCCTTTAATCCTTACGCAACATCGCAAAAGATACTGAAAGAACCAACGAATAGGTCAGACAGTGTAGATACGTCTGTGAGCTCGGAAAAGAGTTTTGCCTTAGGCGACGCAATAACTAGGGCGCCTAGTCGGAGTACGATGCATTTGCCGTTAGCACAAGTTAGTCAGGTACTTGTACTTCATGTATTTTTGTTTTTTTGTTGAAGATTTATTTAGCATTAGCATTTAGGCTAGATTAATTTGAAATATTCTAAATTCTGTGCAAAAACTTGAAATGTGTGAATTCCCACTTTACCTCCGTAGCGGTGGAATTTACTAAATTTCTTTGGGCCTTATTTACACTGTACCAAAGAACCGAGTATATGGAATCCATATCTGTATACCTAGCTTTGAAAAATAATGGTTTTACCATTTTAGCTTCTGCCCCGTATTTCAACCCCTTCAAGTCTGATTTTCACAACAAAAGGTAGTATATGTCCGTCTCCAAGGTTTAATCTATATATGGTATATGCTAAAACTCAGTAAAATCGGTTCAGCCGTTTTGACGTAAAAAGAGAACATACGAGGGTGGATCAAAATAAACCGGAATTCTTTTTTAATATCTATTAATTCATAAAACGATAAAAAAGTCTCTCCCTCCCGCCTAAATCGATTCAGATGACTGATTTGCAATCGGATGTTTTTTGGCCTTCGTTCAACAACTTCGGCACCCATCGAGATCAGATTTTGTTGAAGCCAAGATGCTTTTTGAGCACTTCCAAAGCTAATGCCCACTTCTAAAGCAACTTCATGAATAGTGAGCCTCCTGTCACTTTCAGCAGGGTCACGAACAGCACCAATGTTGTCACCAGAGACACTTGACCTTGGACGTCGATTATGACTCACATTTTCTACACGTTCTCGTCCACTCTCAAACTTTTTGGCCCAATCGAACACCTGAGTTTTAGACAGGGTATCATCACCATACGGAGCCTTCAATCGACCCAAAATCTCGCATGGTTTAACGCCTTCCTTCGTCAAAAATTTTGTTGTAACTCGATGCTCAACGGACGGTGGAACCGGTTGCTCACTCATGGCTGTACTGACGCATTGACTGAGTGGAACAGCTCACCATGCGTTATCCCCACTCCTAATACACTACACTGCAAGGACCTACACTGCGAGAGCGCTCGTTATTGGCTAAGAAAAGAATTTGTACAATTCCGGTTTATATTTGATCCACCTTCGTACAAACATACATACACACTTTCATATTTATAATAGTACGGATTACTTGATCTGTACGCATTGAAACAAAGATACAAGTGTTCATGTGGTTTATATTTTGTAGATTCTAATAGATACTCAACCGCAGAGCTCCAAGGAAGTACCTCAGCTGCTTCTGAAATCGAATATCATTGACATTCCTCAAGAAAGCAATGTGACGACTAGTACTGAATCATCCCAACTAGAGTTGTCAATGGAGGACGGATCGCATTCTGATAAGACTATGATTGGTATTATTTTTTATTGTGCACTTCATTATCATCCAATGTTTATTGTACTCGTATACCTGCTTAAAAAAAGGCAAAAAATAGGTTGACTGCACTTTCCACGCTACGCTATGTACGAGTAATTAACACCGAGAAAAAAGTTGGTTACGAACATGTATAACAGAGATATTAAATGGATCAAGTTAGTCAAACAGGACTACATAATTAGTGCGAAGACGGTAGTCCATCTGGCAACACTGTAGGAAGTCCAGAACACTTACCAAGGCCGGCACGCTCGCCGATGATCCCAGACAGCAGACGGGAATCAAAAGCATTTCTATATCATTCCAAGATTTAAGGGCACATATACTGGTTGGGAGCGTATAAATGTACTAACTCAAAAATTGAGATATAGATCCCGGATTCTGTCGATATTTGATTTCATTTGTAGAACTCGAAAGACTGTGTCACGAAAAAAAAATCGTTACGGACAACCAAACGACTCGAGCGAGTTCGAACTTGTACTGAGGGCGGATCGCATGTTCGAAGCCCGGCGCCTGCGGTGTTGCCAGCTCGAACGCTACGTTGCCAGTCTCAATACTTGATTTACAGGCATCGTATCTTATGTTTTTTGACAGGTAGCGACAACATGATGGAAAGTAGCAGCGACACGAGCACAACGACGGAAACGAGCAGCCAGTCAGCGTACGTGAAGAACATGTTAGCCGACGCGATGACTGAAAAACCTGCCTGCAATACTGCGGAACAGAAACTGAGCGATTTTCAAAATCCCGCGAGCGCGACAAGCGAATCGAATAAAAGCAATTTGCTAGAAAGCATATCTGCCTCTCAGATCGAGTTGATGCCCAGGGAAACGTCGCCGATCAGTTCAGAAAGCCGATCTGATCTCGTGAAGATTGGTGAGTAACGGGAGTTCCATCTATTGCTTCTTTTTTCAACTACCATTTTTTGACATGTTAAATGTGTCAACTGCCACGTGTTTAGCACATATGAACTGTCAAAGGTCTGCGATTTGTTATTATGGATTCTTTAACAATGCAAATTAAATAATTCTGCATACACAAATCGCCTCAAAAATATAAGTCACAGTTTTAACTTATCACAAAGGATCAGCGAGCCAACAAGATTCAATTTTTCCACAAGTGAGGCCAGCCTCATTGATATAATCTGTGCTAGTGAGGATCTTATCTCTGTTGATTCTAAATCATTAGCGGTTTCTCAAAATCTCTCAGATCATAATTTAATTTACTCAGCCTTTCGAAAGTCAAAAATAAATAAATCACAAACGACTATTAAATATAGAGACTACAATAATATAGATAGAGAGTCCTTCTTAAATGAAGGGTTTCTACTTGGATGGGAGGATATTTACTATATAAACCAAATCGACCAAAAAATAGAAGTCTTTAATAAAAATATAGTTACTGTTCTGAATAAACATGCTCCGATAAAAACAAAACAAATAACCGAAAAACCTTATGTACACTGGATAACTCAAAATATAAGAATTTTAATCAGACTAAGAGCTCATAAAAAAATTTAAAAATCAAAATCACAGGCTCATTTTTAATTATTCTAAACAACTAAGGAACTATACAAAGCATGCAATTATTCGAGAAAAAAATACATTCTTTAAGTTACTCTCAACAAAGAAAGGTAAGTAATTTTGGGACACTACCAAAAAGCTCAACATAACATGCAAGAAAACTCAGTCAACTATACCCGAACACTTACAAAATGTAAATGACATACGCAATTACTTCCAATAGACCGACAATTTACGAGATACTGCTTCCCAAGCATTAATCAATTTTTACAAAAACAATGTAAACATTAACGATCCGCTTAGCTTCCAACTGTTAGACAGGGCCAGTCTAATCAAAATTGTAACTAATATCTCATCAAATGCCATTAGGAAGGATGGTTTCTCTATGAGAGACCTAAAGTTATGTATCCCATTTTGTATGAATGCCTGAATATAATCAACACATGTATTTTGGGAGGATTATTTCCAGAAATATGGAAGAAAGCTATTGTTAAACCCTTACCAAGAATAGCAGAACCTAAAGAAGTTACAGACTTGAGGCCTATTAGCATATTATCCGCTACATCCAAAATATTATTATTATTAATCAAATTAGACTTTTTTGTGACACAAACGATATCATACCCAATAGTCAATCCGGTTTTAGGAAAAACTTTAGCACAAGTACATGATTAGTTAATATCTTGGATGATATCAGACATCATCAAGAACAAAAAAATAGTACGTGCATGGTTCTTCTCGATTTTAGTAAAGCGTTCGACACTCTGAATCATGAAATGTTACTAGCTACATTACCAGGGGTTTTCGCAGAGCTCCGTAAATCTAATAAAAACATACTTAAGCAACCGTTCAAACTGTGTTATGTTAGCAAATAATAATAATAATAATCGACTTTATTGGAAACATGCTATACAGATAGACATATGATCCAAAAGGCGGAGTTAACAAAAATAGTGTTCTTCCACTCAACCCCGAAAAATTGACAAAAAAAAGAAAAAGAAAAAATAGAAAGAACAAGAAAAGAAAGGTTTTGTACAAAAAAAAAGTATACCTACATGCAAGTATATGAGCGTAAAAAAGCATGGTCATGCATTTCAAACGCATATTTAAATACGTACATACATATATAAACTAGCAACAATTTGAGAATACCAAGTTGAACTAATATCAAAAAACTTAATCAAATTAGAAAGAATATTTTGACATAACGTAAGCCTTAGCGTATTTTTTGAAAAATATCAGCGTCATAGACTTAAGGTCCGAAGGTAACTGATTATACAACTTATAAATACAGTATGAAAAAGATTGTTCATACTGAGAAGTGATGTGACATGGAGGACTTATCAAATTCTTGCTTCTCACATTAACATTATGTGATTCAACCCTCAATTGAACTTTACTACACAAATACTGTGGTACTTGACTCACCATCACTTTATGATATAGTACCAAACAGTGAAGTATTCGGCGCTGAAACATTTTCATCCAATTTATCTCCTTAATTTTGTGACTGATGTGTTCACCTCTAGGAGTTCCACAAATCAGACGCGTGCATGAATTTTGCATGAGTTGAATTCGATCATTGTCAGCTTTAGTTATACAGGAATGATAAACAACGTCACAATGATTAAACGTAGAAAGGACTAAAGAATCGCACAGAGTACGTTTCCAATTATGGTTCAACATCCTTCTTTGAGCATAAATTAGTTTTAATTTAGGAAATGATGCCCTAATTTTATTTGTGATGTGGCCATGAAAACGGAGGTCATTATCAATTAGGACGCCAAGATTTTTGACACTATATTCTAAAGGTATAAGCTTACCATCCAACTCTAAGCTGGTAGAACTAGAAATATCATTCCTTGTTTTTTTCCTACCAAAAATGATAGCTTTTGACTTATCCGGATTTAAGACTAAGCAATGGTTTTTAGAGGCTATGCTCAAAGACAGTAAGTCAGAATTAATTTTGGCTGCTGCTAGCACGATCTGCTCTGATTTAAAAGACGTATATATTTGCGTGTCATCGGCATATGCATGTAAAGAGCAGGTCTTAAGGCATGCGTGCAACTGTGACGTATAAATAATATAGAAGAGAGGCCCTAAAATAGAGCCTTGGGGTACACCACTGATGAGAGTTTTAGGTTCAGAAAAAATCTTGTTGATTTTAACAATTTGTTTACGGTTAGATAAATAGTTTTGAATCAATTTCACAGATTCACTAGAAAAACCAATAAAATGCAATACTGCAAGCAGCTGATGGTTCAGCTTATCAAAATCTTTCGAGTAATCTAATAATATCAAAGCAGTTAACTCATTTTTATCAGTTGCTTCTGTTATGTCATCAGTGATCTTTAGCAGTGCAGTAGCACAGCTGTACCCTTGCCTAAATCCTGACTGATGTTCAGGAAGTATTTTATTAGTATTCAGGTAATAACGAATTTGCCGCTCAAGAATCTTCTCAATAACTTTAGAAAGAGTGGGCAGTATACTTATTGGTCTTAAATCCTTGAATTCATTGGGACTGTCATGTTTTGGAATTGGTGTGACATGAGAAATTTTCCAAGAATCAGGAAACACTGAAAACTCAATACACGTATTAACTAGGTGAGTTATTACGGGTAAAATATGGGGACAACAATATAATAACATATCAATCCCAATATTATCAACACCAATGGCCTTTGAATGGATTGACTTTAAGGTATCTGCAACTTCATCTATACAAGTCATTGTGAAATTGAAGTTACTCTTCAAGTTATATTTTTTACTATATAAATATCTATTTAGTGTTTCAGAATCAGGGGTTAAGCTTGAGGTCATTTCAGATGAATAATAATCGCTAAGTCTTTCAACATTATTTAAATGTTCAGGTATAATTGAACTGTGGTCCCTCAGCGTGCCCAACGATTTCAGAGCCCGCCATTGCTTTCTTGCTTCACAATTTCCCATAACAGTACCAAGATAAGCCCTCTTCTCATTCTCAGTAGCACGGGTAGCAAAAATTTTCAGATCTTTGTAAGATTCCCAGTTTTCTTTACATTTTCTATTTTTAAACTTAACTAAATGATTCCGCTATTTACAAAACCGATTTTAAACCTAAAAAAGAGGAGTTCCTCAAGGTTCAATTTTATCTCCTTTGCTATTTTCAATCTACATATCTGACATGGTCAAATCGGTAAAATTCGCAAAGATAAAACAATATGCAGATGACTCACAAATATATCTCCCTTTCAATAAAACCACAATCCATATTACACAATCACAACTAAATTCAGATCTCCAAAGTATTGACAGATTTGCAAAGCCTCACAATCTTAAACTAAACCCCTCAAAATCGCAAGTAATGGTTATGAATAAAAACAGTAATGAAAGAGAACATTTTGAACAAAATTTAGTAATTTCTATTAACAATGACAGAATCCCCATGGTTCAGGAGACAAAAAATCTAGGCATTATATTTGATAGCTCGCTTGGCTTCGGCAGTCATAAAAAACAGAACAAATTTAGCTTACATGCGACTAAGAAATATAAACAAATTAAAAAAACATTTGTCAGCCAAACAAAAATATTATTTGTGTAATAGCTTAATTTTATCACTTTTTGACTATGGAGATGTCGTCTATGGTGATTCGCTATCAAAAAGTTCAAAATAGTTGCATGAGATTTGCGTTTGGAGTTCCATATCGAAACCATATCACTCCTTATCTGAATAACTACAACATATTAAACATGACGAATCGCAGAAAATATCACATGTATTCTTTTATCTATAGGGTTATAAAAACAGCTTAACTGCCCTATTTAAGAGAAAGATTTGTGCCTGGTCCCCAGAGAAGCAGAAATAATCCCAATTTTAGCGTACCTAGGCATAGAACGCGTTCCTTCCGACGATCGTTTGCTTATGTGGCGGTTCACTTATGGAATAATTTACGAACTTCAGTTAAAAGCTCATCGTCAAAACTGACAAAAACGTTACAGAATCACCAGCTACTTTAGCAGCGTTTGTGTAAGCAAAAATATCGTTTTTACATTCCTACTCGCTGACAAGTTGTATAGATTTGTTCTTCGCGTCCGTTGCCAGCTCCCGGGGGTTCTTTCTTCATTTTTGCCTTTTTGTGTTTCACCGCCTTTTCATTTGCCTCTTTATTGTTTTTTTTTATTTTGTTTAAGGGGCTTTCTCGCATGTACTCTTTGTTTTAAAGGGTCCAATTATAATCGAGAGACTGTCTTTTTTCGTCATTGCTCTATATGTAGAATTTCCTTCGTTTATGATGTTTATTCATGACGAAATAAACAAATTAATTTGAACTTCGATAAGACACCGTTCGCAAGAATTGGACATCAGGCCAACAACATTATGGAGGATTTTGCATGTCGAAATCTCCACCTACACCCATACAAGATCCAACTAACTCAACAATTGAAGCCAGCGGACCATCAGCAACGGCGTATTTTTTTAATTAGATGCTTGAAAAAGGAGAAGGATTTTCGGCAAAAATCATATTTTCAGAAGAGGCACATTTTTACATCAGTGGCCACGTAAATAAGCAAAACTGTAGGATTTGGGGTTCGGAAAATCCACACGAGATCCATGAACAACCTCTCCATGATCAAAAAGTAACTGTTTAGTGCGAATTATGGGCTGGTGGCATCATTGGTCCGTTCTTTGTTTGTTTAACATTTATTTAGCATGATTGCTACAATTACATTCTTCTAAAAAACTAAACAATTACATAACATACAGACATTCAGAAAAAAAACAAAATTTGCATCTCTAAGAATTTTCATTGAAATGAAATATTCCTTTAATTTTCTTTTAAATATCTTTAAATTACAAGAAGACTAATCCTTTCTGAAATATTGATTTGCTAGTTATATTACTATTGCAATTTTGTAAATGAAAATCTATATTTCCTCTTGTATAATAATTGTGGTAATGATTATTCAATTCTATGTAGTGTTCTAAATGTTCTGGCAAAATATTATTTTTAATTTTAAATGATAGGAAATTTCTTATATTCAACCACTGCAATTCTTGTAACACAGATTCTATTTTGGTGTACTTATTTTTATTCAATATTATTCTCATAGCTTTATTTTGCAAGACTTCTAATTTTGAGAATACAGCTTCATTGGTAGTGAACGAGATAGTTGAACAATATAGTAAATGCAGTAGTATTATTGTATTATAAACTATTTTCTTGGAGTACCTAGACTATGAGAAGCCCTATAAAAGTAATTTGTTTTTTGTCAATTTTTGAAATAATGTATTCATAGTGATCCTCAAACTTTAGTTTACTATCAATATATACATATACCTAAATATTTAATTATTTCTCCATTTATCCTAACTGTGATAGTATTTTCATTTAGGTATTTCTCTATTAGCATACATTTTGTTTTAGAAGTATTCAATTTTAGTTTATTTACGTTTAACCAATTTACGATTTTTGCCAAGACAGAATTTAGCATGTTTAAAGCAGTGTCTATATTTTCGTCTGATATGTATATTAATGTATCATCTGCAAATATCTGAAGTTTACAATAATCTAAAATATTACAAAAGTCATTAATGTATAAAATAAATAGTAGTGGACCTAGTCTATTACCTTGTGGTATACCAAAATAAATATTTTTTGATCTTGATAATGTAGATCCAATTTTGGTTTTTTGACTTCTGTTAATTAAATAGTTTTGTAGAATTTTTAATACAGATCCTCTAAATCCGTAGTGATGCAATTTTGTAAGTAATTTATCCCTGCCAATAGTCTTAAACGCCCTTTTGAAGTCCAAAAACGCTGTTACTGTGTTTCCGATTGTCAATACATCTCCTCCAGTCCTCTAAAACCATTGGTGTTGCCGTTTTAGTTGAGTGTTTCTTCCTGAATCCAGTTTGACATTGGGTTAACATGTTATTTTCCTCGATAAATTCGATGATCTGATCGTAAATAATTTCTTCAAAAACTTTTTCAACATCTGGCAGAACATTTATTGGCCGCATATTGGTGTACAAGTCAGAATTCTTAATTTTAGAAACAGGAGTTATGGCAGAACACCTCAGTTTTGTTGGAAATTCGCCATATTTTAAACAGTAATTTATCAGGGTTAATATTCTTGCTCCAATAACATCAAAACATTCATTACGCACACTTTTAGACACAATCTCACTCTTATTTTGATTTGATTTAATTTTTGATATAATCTTGAGACAATTAATGTTTATTGTTCTAAACGCACTGAATGATGCATTATTATCTGAGCTAATGGGACATTGGTTGGGATCTGATTGCTGAATCTTCACCTATATTGGAAAAAAAGTTTGTAAATTCATTGCAGATTTTTTGGGTATCCTTTATAACTCCTCTCGAGATTGACTATTTTTATTTTCAGTAATCTCGTTAATAGTAGACCAGAATCTTCTGCTATCATTTTTACTATTATCTATTTTTTGTAAAAAGTGCACCCCTTTTTAGTATACTAAAGGGTTGTCCAATAGGGACGCAGGAAAGTAAACGTCAATTTGACATAGACGCCATCTTTGTTTTCTGTCACTGACATGTCATTTTGTTAGTTGAATGTTTACGATTGATCGCTATGGAGTCGTATTCGATTGAAGACCGCATTAAAGTTATTCAAGAGCACTACAAAAATGGTGCAAAAATAAAAAACACGTTTCGCGCGCTTCGTGAACATTTCGGTCACAACAACCGCCCAAACGAAACAACCATCGGTCATCTGGTACGTAAATTCGAGGCAACAGGTTCTGTGGCAAATCTGCCAGGCTCTGGCCGGCCAAGGAGCTTTCGCACACGGGAAAATATTGCTGTTGTGAAGGAGAGTGTGAGAGACGATCCGAAACAATCAACGCGTCGATCCCAAGAATTGGGCATTTCGAGAACCAGTTTGCTCCGCATTCTCCACAAGGATTTGAATGTACACGCCTACAAGATCCATTGACGCAAGAGCTGCGTCGGGCCGACCATTTTTCGCGCCGAACGTTCTCAGATTGGCTCCTTGAACACCGCCAAATTGATGCCAATTTTTCATCAAAAATCATGTTCAGCGACGAAGCGCATTTCACTTTGAATGGGACGGTAAACAAGCAAAACTGCCGCATCTGGGCGAACGAAAATCCCCGTGAGTATCAAGAGCAGCCGATGCATCCTCAAAAAGTGACTGTGTGGTGTGCATTGTGGTCAAAAGGCATCATCGGACCTTACTTTTTCGAAAATGCGGCCGGGGACGCCGTTACCGTCAATTCTGAGCGATATCACGTGATGATATAGGACTATTTTTTGTCGCAACTTGAAGGAATGGATATGGACGATGTTTATTTCCAACAAGACGGTGCAACATGCCACACAACCAACGTCAATATCCATCGATTGCAGTCCTTCTTCGGTGATCGCGTGATTTCGCGCAGAGGAAATGTGCCATGTCCACCAAGATCGTGCGATTTGACTCCCTTGGACTTCTTTTTATGGGGATATTTGAAAAGCAAAGTCTACGTCAACAAACCAGCCACCCTCCAAGAACTGAAAAACAACATCATTGCCGAGATAAATGCCATAGAACCGACCATGTTGCAAAATGTCATTGAAAATTTCGACCATCGCGTGGACGTCTGTAAATCCAGTCGTGGTGAACATTTGAGCGATATTATTTTTCATACATAAATGGTATAAATGAACCTTCAAAATAAAGTACCCAACTTGATTTGAATATGAATCTTTCTTGTTTTAATATGCGTTTACTTTCCTGCGTCCATTTTGGACAACCCCATACTTTACGCTTAAGCTCAAAATTTCGTTATGACTAGGTTCGGACCATACGTCAGGTCACACGTCCGGCGACGAACTAGAAACCACCACATCCTCAGACATTGAAATAATCTCGAGTCCGAACGGCGATTCGAGCAGTACCCAAAGTCGACAAAGCCCCGCGAAACAGACTGCATCCAAACCGAAATCTGACGACTCCGCGATAGATTCTTTGCTTTACAAGATGACCTTGAAAAAGGCCAAAGGACACACGAGAGAACTATCGGAAGCGTCAAGCATAAGCGATGACAGCCATTCTTCTGAAGTTGACAGATTGCTGAAAAGAATATCCGAAATGGCGGAGATTCTGGAGTCGAGGGAGGCTAAGATTATAGATATGAACAGGCGGAATGCAGAGGTACAGGAGTTGAACAGCAGTTTGAAACTTCAGCTTGACTCGATACTTTCTAAGCAGCTGGAAGTTGCCGATCTGTCACAGGTATGTAATACTGGATTTTTGAATTCAAATCCTCGTATCTATTACTATAATAATAATAATAATTTGTTCACATCAATTACAAATTGTGAATACATTGATATGCCACAAAAGGAAAATATCCTTGTATGTGGATATGATTCTAACACAACATACAGTAGCGCCATCATTATTTTATTCTTTATTATTAAAGACTATTTTTTTTCTCTCATATAGTTTGCTTACAGTCTTATAGGGTGTTTCAGTTTATTGTTGCATAACTTTAAGATTCGATAGAAATTTTAAAATTAATGCCTAAAGTCTATATAAACATGGGTCGAAAAATGCGTGGCTTCCAAAATACAGGGTGTTTAAATTTACTTTCTAAAATAGTTTTTTTTAAATATTTCGAACAATATTTGATGTATAACAGTGAAAGTTGGTATACAAGGGTTTTTTGGTACGACAAAACGAACCATTGGCATAGTTTTACTGTAGCCGCTAGAGGGCGCTTTCTACTGTACCTGTTGTGTATTAAAATGACCGAAAAAATTTTCTTAGTGCAATTTTTTGCTTTTTGAATAAAAAAACTGATTTTTCGCACTTTTCAACATAAAAAAGCTCTCTTGTTAGCCGTTTTTGAGATATTTCGATTTTTAAGGTTCGATGCATTTTTAATTATTTTTGATAAAATAATGTTAAAAAGTCAGTACCTCGATAATTTTTAGAAGTAGGCTGTGCCTGCAAATATTTTTGAAATTGAAAGCAGAATAAGGTTAAACGTCAATTAGTTGACAGTTAGTTTTGTTGTCTGTTGAAACCTGAAACGTTTTTTTGCAATTTTGAATGCACGAAATTTAGTTTCTTTTCCCTGTTTTTTTTTGTAAGTTTTATAAAAATGCCATTTTTATTCTCCATTCAAGAGTTAGCGGATATTCATTTTGTGTATGGCTTTGTAAATGGAAACGCAGCAGAAGCAGCCAGAGAATACGCACGAAGATTTCCAAACAGACGACATCCAACTCGCTCAGTATTTGTAAGAGTGCATCGCCAAATAATTGAAAATGGTTTTGGAAATCTCCAAAGGGATCAAAACATAAATCTTCGTTAGCGCAGATTTACCCGTATGATTGTGCGTGAGTTTGATAGAGATCCGACCACAAGTGTTAGGAGAGTTTCTGGTGCCTTGGGAATTTCAGCAAGCCATGTTCACCGTGTTCTTAGAAATGACCATAGACGTCCTTACCATTTACAACCTGTGCAAGGACTACAGCCAGGGGACGGAGAACGAAGAATCACATTTTGTCAGTGGATTCTTGATAGAACTGATAATAATAGGGAGTTTTTAAGTAACGTTTTATGGACCGATGAATCATGCTTTACTAGACGTGGAGTGGTAAATTTTCATAATCAACATATTTGGTCGCATGAAAATCCGCATGCAGTTCGGGAAAGAAATTTTCAACATGAATTTAGTGTGAACGTGTGGATTGGTATCTACCGTAATCGACTATTTGGACCCTACCTTTTGCCTGCAAGGTTAAATGCTGCTACCGTCTTGGAATTTTTAAAGGCTGAACATGCAAATATGTGGGATGATGTTATGTTAGATTTAATAAGATTGGCCTGGTTCCAGCTTGATGGTTGTCCAGCTCATTATTCGAGAATAGTTAGAAACTGGCTGGACGAAAATTTTCCAGAAAGATGGATCGGCCGTGGAGGACCAGTCGCCTGGCCTCCACGATCCCCTGACCTAAATCCATTAGGTTTCTTTGTGTGGGGATTTCTAAAAGAAAAAGTGTACCAGACTCCTGTAACCACAAGAGATATGCTAATAGACAGAATCAGGAATGCAGGTGATGAAATAAGGCATTATTTGAATAATGCTATACCACGTTCGATCATTCGTAGATGTGAATTGTGTATTGAACAATTGGGTTTACATTTCGAGCAACTACTTTAGATTTTGTATGTGTGTCCTAACTATCCAATAACATTTTAGTTGTAAATAATTAATTTAATTTGTTAAAAATAATATTGGAAAAATAAACAAATTAATATTCTGTTTTTTTGTGTTTATTTGGAGTTAGAAATTATTGCTGTGTTTAAAAACACAATCTAAACGATCATCTTAATTACTTGTAATGCCCAAATCGAAAATGTAAAAAAAAATATTATTTTCCCATAAATAATTAAAAATGCATCGAACCTTAAAAATCGAAATATCTCAAAAACGGCTAACTATAACGAAAACTCACAGGAGAGCTTTTTTATGCAGAAAAGTGCGAAGAATCAGTTTTTTGATTCAAAAAGCAAAAATTTTTCGGTCATTTTAATACACTACAGGTACAGTAGAGAGCGCCCTCTAGCGGCTACAGTAAAACTATGCCCATGGTTCGTTTTGTCGTACCAAAAAACCCTTGCATACCAATTTTCACTGTTATACATCAAAGATTGTTCGAAATATTTAAAAAAAACTATTTTAAAAAGTAAATTTAAACACTTTATGCATTAATTTTAAAAGTTCTATCGAATCTTAAAGTTATGCAACAATAATAATATTTATTCACTCAATGTACAAAGATAACAAACAATATGAGTAAATAAATATAAAAATAAAAACAATGAACTGAAACACCCTGTATATGAGGTATAACAAAAAATTCAATCGTAAAAATCGTTCAATTAACTATATTTTCATAATATCTGCGATTTTGTAAATACAGCAGCGGGCAAAAGTTTGGAGACATACTTAGTAATTTTTAAAAAGTGCGCTAATTTTCTACTATTTATTATTAAGGACTATTTTTTTTTCTCATATAGTTACAGCTTGCAGTCTTGAGGATACAAATGACAATTTGTGTTTGCTATGGTACTACACACTAGCATTAAAACACCTTTATATTATTTTATGACCAAAAATGAGACGACAAAAGTATGGAAACATATTTTCTATTAAAAAGTTAAATACATTAACTCTACAATAAGATCTAAAAAATAGTGTTTAGCTAATATTTGGTAGCATAGCCTTTAGCATTCAACACTGCCTGACAATTGCTGCTCATAGAAGACACCAATTTTTTACAGACGTCTGTTGGGATATTTTGCCAAATATTTTTTACATAACCAAATAAATCGTTCCTATTTTTAAAAGTTTTTCTTGTCAATTGTCTTTTAACATGCTCCTAGAAACGTTTTATAGGTTTTAAGTCCGGGGATTGCGAAGGCCATGTAAGAACATTAACATTTTTTAGTCTTAAGGAGTCCTTTGCGAATTTTGAGGTATGCTTTGGGTCATTATCATGCTGGAATGTCCATCGTGAAGGCATTTATTCTTCAGCGAAAGGGAGCATCACAAAGAATATCTTTGTAAAGTTTTTGATACATTTTCCCAAGAATTTTAACAATTGGACCCGTTCCAGAACTAGAAAAACAGCCCCAAACCATGATCTTGCCTCCACCTTGCTTAACTGTTGGCAACTGATACTTTTTGTCGAATCTTTTTCGTATTGGCAGTGAATTTTGGGGGAAGAAACATCGCAGTGATGCATTTATCTTCAGTTGTTAGTTCTTCTTCAGACGGATGACCGGGAGCGTTATCAAGAAGCAACAACGCTTTTTGAGGAAAATTATGATCTTTTAACCATTTTCTAACTTCAGGTACGAAGCATTCATCAAACCACTTTTGAAAAGGTCTTTTGTCATCCATGCACTTTTTTGTCCGTAATAGTGTACAGGTAAATCAATGTTTTTGAATGCCCGTGGTTTATTAGATTTCCCAATGACCATCATCTTAAGCGCGTTAGCACATGGTAGTACGGTTACACGCTCTTTACTTACTTTTCATCCAGGTACGGATTTTTCGTTACAAGAAACGAAAGTTTTGTTAGGCATCACACGCCAAAAAAGCCCTGATTCGTCTGCATTGTACACCTGTGACGGGTCAAGATTTATATCGTTCACCTTTTGCAAAAATCTTAATTTAAAGGGCTGTATGCAGGTGGCATCGTTAGAAAGTTTCTCTCCTGTAATAGTCATTAAACGTATGCCATGACGACTTTTAAAACGTTCTAGCCATCCTTTGCTGGCCACAAAATCATCTGTTTTTGTTATTTCCTTATAAAAAAACTTAGCTTTCATGAGTCCTGAAATTGGTGCATGCCTATTTCTTTCCTGAAGAAACCACATGTACAAAGCTTCTTCCACTTCTGGATGTTCAGCTTTCCTGAGTGTCTGTCTCTTGTCTGGCCCGCAGTCAGTAGGTAACACGAACTTCTTGATCTTCTCGTGGTTTCTTTTAATGTCATAAATTGTAGATCGGCCTACGCCGTACTCACTTGCTAAACTACTGAAAGTTTCATTGCGATTTAAGCGGTCTAAAATATCACATTTTTCTTTAATTGTCAATGTTTTGTGCTTTCGCTTCTGAGTTTGAGATGACATTACTAGGTACTATACTTAATACACAATGAATAAATAGTAAACAATGAACGCACGCTAGGCCGTACCGCTATCACCAGTAGTCAAATTCAAACTAAGTAAAACAATGCTTACGGGTCGAGCACGATAGCGGTGGCGCGTACAAGTTGTAATCTGTTCAAACCTGCGTGATCTATAATCGCGAAGATTGTCAAATATGCATGTATGTAATACGTATTCAAACACATGTCGGATTACAGGGGGCGCCGGATTAGACAGGGGTCGGATTATCGGGGTTCCACTGTATTATGTTTATTGGACATTGCCGTTATTATTTATACGAAAACTTTGTAATTAGACCAATAAATATTATTATTATTATTATTATTAAAAAAACGCGTATTTTGATTTTCAGAGAATTTGAATATTGATAAGATAAACCTTTTATCAGCACGGAAGCTAAATATAATATTTATATTATCTGTTTCTTCATAATTTTAATTTAGTTATATAAAATAGTTCATAATAATCTTAATATTTGTTTGCAAATTTTTGTCCGCCGCTGTATCTTTGTCAAAAATGAGACCGTTTCCGTTCATAATCCTGTGACCTGTAAACTACTGATGATTCTCGGTTAGGACTAAACGGCACCGCTTACGGACGGACGAGAGCAATTTTTCACCGATCGTTTCTTCAAAATCCAACTCCACTTTCGTTTTCAGGTGACAGAAGAGTACACCCAAAGACTTTCAGCGCTGGAAAAAAAATTCCAACAAGCTATCAGGGAGAAGGATGTTTTGAGAAAACAGCTGGAACAATCCAAGCAAGATGCCGCGACGAGAATAAGTAAAAGCGAACTGGACTCGCTGGTTGCCGAGAAAGAGGATATTATCAAGCAGCTTAGAGATGAGGGCGCGAAACTGTCCAAGCAACAGTTGCAACATTCGAATATTATAAAGAAACTTAGGGCTAAAGAGAAGGAGAACGAAAGTACCATAAAACATCTAAGGTAGGATAGACTCGTTTTTGTCGATCTGACTCTAATTTCATAGAATAAATTAGTATTTCTTACTGAAGTGCGTTTAGGAAAACGAAATATACCGAATTCGATTTTGAAAAGCGCAAGATGGATATGTCAAATTTAAAAAAAATATTTTTTTCATTTTTAATACGAACGGTGAAAACACTATCGGTCATGATCTAACGTCATATAAATTGTTTGTTTAAGATTTATTTAGCATGATTGCTACAATTACATTCTTATAAAAACCTAAACAATTACAGAACATACAGACATTCAGATAAAAACGAAATTTGCATCTAAGAATTTTCATTGTCCAATATTCCTTTAATTTTCTTTTAAATATCTTTAAATTACAAGTAGACTTTATAAATATCATTATTTAGTTTATTAAATTTAAATAATCCTTTCTGAAATATTGATTTGCTAGTTATATTACTATTGCAATTTTGAAAATGAAAATCTATATTTCCTCCTGTACAATAATTTTGGTAATGATTATTCAATTCTATGTGGTGTTCTAAATGTTCTGGCAAAATATGGTTTTTTATTTTAAATATAAAAATAGGAACCAAATATGATATGAAATTTTTTATATTCTACCACTGCAATTCTTGTAACATAGATTTTATTTTGGTGTACTTATTTTTATTCAATATTATTCTCATAGTTTTATTTTGCAAGACTTGTAATTTTGAGAATACAGCTTCATTGGCCGTGAACATGATAGTTGAACAATATAGTATATGCGGTAGAATAATTGTATTATAAACTATTTTTTTGGAATAGATACCAAGACTATGAGAAGCCCTTTGTTTTTTGTCAAGTTTTGAAATAATGTATTCATAGTGATCCTCAAACTAGACCAGTTAGGTGAAAAATTAAAGCTTCCGCCTTTTGCTGGGTACTTCGACAAAATTTAAGCAAAGAGGACTCTTTATACTTTTTTTAATTCTCTCTAGCTTTCAATGGACTTTGCCATCATCATCAGGAGCTGCAATTACAATGATAACAGTATATATATATATATATATATATATATATATATATTTTATACTACAATGTGTAGGTTGGCTCTTGTTGTGGACTTCGTGTGTCTTTTTTTCCTTTCCATCTTCGTTTCCTCAGGTTACACCCGTATCCGGATGTGTGGGCATGTGTATCTACTTTTGTAGTTGCATATGTGCATTCATTCCGGGCCTGATGAAGCCAACCAGCAGAAATACGTATCGCTCGGGTTACCTATCCTATTTCTGCTCGAATCCACTTTTTGCGGATTTTGCCCATTATTTTCCTATTTTTGTTATATATATATATAATATATATAGCTAAATATTTAATTGATTCAACATTTTCAATTATTTCTCCATTTATCCTAACTGTGATAGTATTTGCATTTAGGTATTTCCCTATTAGCATACATTTTGTTTTAGAAGTATTCATTATTTACATTTAACCAATTTACGATTTTTGTCCAGTCAGAATTTAGCATTTTTAAAGCAGTGTCTATATTTTCATCTGATATGTTTATTAATGTATCATCTGCAAATATCTGAAGTTTGCATAAATCAAAAATATTACAAATGTCATTAATGTATAAAATAAATAGTAGTGGACCTAGTTTAGTACCTTGTGGTATACCAACAGAAATATTTTTGATCTTGATAATGTAGATCCAATTTTGGTTTTTTGACTTCTGTCAATTAAATAGTTTTGTAGAATTTTGAATACAGATCCTTTAAATCCGTAGTGGTGCAATTTTGTAAGTAATTTATTCCTGTCAATAGTCTCAAACGCCCTTTTGAAGTCCAAAAACACTGTTACTGTATGTTTCCTATTGTCCATACATCTCCTCCAGTCCTCTAAAACCATTTGTGTTGCCGTTTTAGTTGAGTGTTTCTTCCTGAATCCAGCTTGAAATTTGGTGATATTTCCCTCAATAAATTCGATGATCTTCGTAAATAGTTTCTTCAAAAGCTTTTTCAACATCTGGCAGAACATTTTTTAGCCGCATATTGGTGTACAACTCAGAATTCTTAACTTTAGAAACAGGAGTTATGGTAGAACACTTCAGTTTTGTTGCAAATTCGCCATATTTTCATTTTATCAATTTATCAGGATTAATATTCTTTTTCCAATAATACCAAAACATTTATTAAGCTTAAGCACACTTTTAGACAAAATCTCACTTTTGATATAATCTTCTTGAGACGATTAATGTTTATTGTTCTAAACTCACTGAATGATGCAATATAATCGAGCTAATGGGACATTGGTTGGGATCCCCGTCAATAATTGATTTTATAATGTCGTTGACACTTTCTATGAAATAGGTATATTCAGTCGATTTGCTATTATTTCTTCATTTGTTATTATCCCATCGTCGAATTTCATTTTAGATAATGTACTTTTTCTAATAGTAGACACAATGTTTTTCAAACGTTTTCCACATATGTTTGCTATTATTTTTACTCTGATCAATTTTGGCATTGTAATATTTTTTCTTTTCATCTCGTAGAACTGCTACAGATCTTGTGTATTCTAGCCAATCATTTTCACTTCCAGTAATCATAAACTTTTTATAATTGTAGCCTATTTTTAATTTAGTATCCTTGAACGTCTGCGAGAACCAAGGTGTCTTATTTTTCCTTTTATGAATTGTTGTCTTGACTGTAGGTTCTTCAACATTATCCAATAGGCTTGTATAGTAGCTATCAACATCAACAAACGCTGCAGTCATATCTTGCAGTAAAAGAGCTTCTCGTAATTTTACATAGTTAATATTAGTAGTTTCTTCCACTTTGCTAGCATCAAATTTACTTTCAACTTCAAAGCGTATCCATGAATCATCACAGATCTTAGGAGTATGCATAACTTTTGCAATTAAATTTTGTTCCTTCGTTATTATCAAATCTATAATTGTTCTTGATTGATTTGTAATTCTGGTGTGATCATAGACTTTTTACCATAGTCCATAAAAAGAAACGTCATTCGTATGTCACTCGTAATTTAAAATCAACGTAAAAAGTTATCGTTTTCTCGTTTTATTGAAAAAAAATCATGAACATTGGATTAGAAAAGCAGAAAGCCCTAATTTTTCGAGAATTGACACATTGATGTTGGTAATTTTGTGCCTTGAACCCAGATTTCTACTCTACTAAGCTGAGAAATATCAAGACTTCTATGTAAGTACAGTGTATCTGTGTATCTATATAATGGTGTCATAAAAAGAGGGACATAATCTTCCTTTTCAGACGTCATTCAAAACTGAGGTCATGCATCATAAACTCTGAATAATTTGACTAGGGTGGATTATACAGGGTGATTCAAAAGTCGTGTCCGAACATGGAACATCATACATTCAACCGCATTTTAAGGGGGTTTTCTATTTACCATTTTTTCTCGATGCCGTCATTAAAAAGATATATTGTTTTCGTAAAAATAATCAAAGCTTTATTTCAATAAAGGTTAAAAAATACCACCATTCTGACGGATACAAGTGCGGCATCTTTTTAATAAAGAAAAACTTATTTTCGCAAAATTTGTTGTGGCTTGATTTTGATGAAACGTATTATCTATTCTTTCTTGTAACTGATCAACAGTATTAAAAACCTATATAATGTAAAAAAACCGACATGTCACTTTTCAAGATACGTAATACCCTGCAGATCCGCAATGTTAAGTTACATACATTTGTTCTTTCTAGGGAAAGCATCGAATCCCTCTCAGTAGAATCAGACCGATTGAAAAAATCCCTGAGTGCTAAAGAGGAAGTGGAGAGAACTCAAATCGAAGCAGTATATCAATTGACCAATAAAAATAAAAAGTTAGAAGCTGAAATTAACAAATTGAAAAATCAACTGGATGATCTGACGCAAAAGCACGAGACCGTAAAAAAATCTTTCGACGCCGCCAAAAAGGAATTGCAGGACAAGAATAAGATCAGCTCCGAGTTGCATATGAGGGAGCAGATCTTGGAAACGTTGGAGAATCAAAAGAAAGTGACCGAGTCGCAAAATGAGGAGGTAAGACAATCTAGATAATTTTTTTATGTGGTTATACAGGGTGTAAACGTTATGGTAGTCATTAACACAAGTCAAAAAGTTCATATGATCCATGGTCAATAGATTTTTATCTAAATGGCTTTATAGATTACAACTTTAAGTGCTTTATATAGACCACAATCACCACAATCTTACGAATTTTTGTAATCTAATCTAAAACGTTTTTAAATTGGGTAATTAACAAATAAATGGCATTAAGTTAAGCCAAAATTTGTAGTCAGTAAGTAAGTTCCGTTAAATTAAATATTTAAAACACACATGACAACAGCGCGTCCGACTTTCATCACTCTTATCGAACCGGCAATCGATCGCAAACGGTAACAGTGGTTAGTTATCGTTTTGCATAGCATCGAGCGTGTTTTGTTCTTGTTCGTGTACGTCGTCGTGTTTATTTACAATGTTCTCGAATCAAGAGTTCGCCGACATGTTGTTAGTGTACGGTGAAGCTCGTAAGAATTCAAATCTTGCGGCTCAAATTTATCGCGACAAATTTCGCTAACGGGTACACCCAGACAGAAGGACATTTGTGCAAGTGTTCCAAAGACTTCGAGATACAGGAAGTGTTCAGCCCACTAATATTCTCACTCGCGAAAGACAGGTTACTGTAAAGCAGGAGGAACAAATTTTAAATATCGTCGAAATCAATGCAGATATCAGCACTCGGGAATTAGGCCGCCGCGTAGGACTCGCGTATCATAGTCCATAGAATCCTACGGGAAAATTTGCTTTATCCCTACCATGTACAACGAGTGCAGGCCTTGTTACCAGAAGACTATCCTCGCAGACTAACGTTCTGTCAGTGGTTTTTGCACAAAAACATTGAAAAGCCGGATTTTTTTAAAAACATTCTAGCGACGGACGAATGTACTTTTACGCGAGACGGGATATTAAATTTCCATAATACTCACACGTGGACCCAAGAAAATCCTCATACCATTCGTAAAGGTCATTTCCAACAACGTTTTAAAATAAATATTTGGGCGGGTATTCTTGACGATCAGGTAATTGGCCCTTTCGAGTTACCCCCAAAGCTGTCAGGAGAAGGATACCTTAGCTTTCTAGCCAAAAACCTATTAGAGCCGTTTCACACACAAGAGAATTACTCCGAACATTATGCCGAAAATTTGCATGGAAAAAATATTGAGGATTTTCTCTACAACCTGTATGACACAAGCAAACGAAATTTCCGAGTAATTCATATGATACGCCTGCGCATTAGAGTAATATTTTCGAATATTTCGATTGGACATAACCTTAACGGGTATGACGTCCAATATAATCGGAAAGCCAACAGTCGTCGTTGATTTAAATTTATTTTTGAAATCGAGATTTCGGTTAATATTATAAAAAATGAATTTGAATCAATCTGATACAATAACAATAAACGCTTCTTCGTACGACTCGAACAGGACCACACCCACAAATGTTGAGTGAGGAAATAACCCTCTGCGCCGATTCTCTTGCATATTCGATAGAACGGATTTTATATTTTTGAAAATTTTCACAAGAATTCTTTTACGTGTAATACGACAGAAAAAATTTTCGGCATAATAAATTGTGGCCATAATTTTCGGAGTAATTCTGTTGTGTGTAAAACGGTTCTTAGACAACATGCCGTTTCAACGGAGACAGAACTTGTGGTTTCTTCATGACGGGGCACCACCACACATTTTTAGAGGCGTCATTCAGTATTTGAATAAACTTTATCCAAATCGCTGGATCGGTCGAAATGCTCCTGATCCTCGAAAATGGCCAGCAAGATCTTCTGACCTCAATCCGATGGATTTCTAGTATTGGGGAGAACTTAAAGGGATGGTATATGGGGCTGGTCCAATAACAACTGAAGCACAACTTCGCGAAAAAAAATTTAATGCGGCTGAAATAATAAATGGACAACTTCGAGGACCTAGAGTAAGAAGAAACTGGGTTCGTCGTAATGAAGCTTGTGTGGAAAGTGGAGGACGACATTTTGAACACCTTTAAGTACAAAAAAAGTGCAGTGTGGGTTTCAAAAAGAAAAACAATGTGTGTATCTAAACTGTGTTCCCTATTTATAAGTGAATTTTTTTAATACGTTCAATAAACTTTCACACACCAGGTGACGCGCTGAGACAGTTAGTGGTAAGTCCTTGAAAAAATAATTGCGGTGTTCAATACTCCAGAATCATGCATCCGATCAAAGTTTGTTATAGAGCTTGAATCGAATATTTTAACTACAATAAGTGGCTGCCAGATATCCTTCGTAATTGACGGGTTCTCCTTTACCACAATGTCAACGCGGCTGTTCCCCAGGGATCCAACATTGTTCCTTCTACATATCAACGACATCCTTTCCTAACTTCAAAATTGGTTGGAGAATTACTGTTTAATAATGATCCTTGTTACAGATTTTGAATCAGTTAGAAGACCTGAGGTACAAACTCAGACAGTCCGAAGAAGAGTTTACAAAGAAAGAGCAGCAATATCGCGAAAAGCACGGGTTATTGCTAAGAAAGTTGGAGGAAGCTGAAGCGAAAAACGAGGAACTGTCACAAACGGTGCTTGAAGTCAGTAAACCATTGGTTAGGCAGTTGGAGTCCCTTCAGGCCACACATAGTATGAAAATGTCAGTATTTGAAAAACTAGAAGAGGAGCTGAATGCCAAAATTAGTAAGTGAAAAGAAACACTAGCGAGATTCTCTCAAAATCTGTATTTCAAAAATTTAATAAATTAAGTATTGATATTGAACAGTGCTAGAATTTAAACATGTTTAGGATGGAATTAAAAAATGACTTTTTAGAAAATTGATTCCAAAAAATGTGCAAAAGGATAATTATACAAAATTGACATTATAGCATTAACGTTAAATAAATCAACAAACAAATAAAAAAATACATATTACCATCATGTCAACTGTCAATCTTCAGGTTCTGATGAGAGTTCTCAAACATGTAAATAGCCTTATTTTCGCGAAAATAAATTTTCGGTTGTAGCAGTTTTTCTCAGAGATGTGACTTATTTAAGATACAGGTATACGAGGTTCGTCCGGAAAATACGTATAAAAAATTTGTGGCGTCGTGTCAAGGCGTTGTGGGGGGGTGGCCAGGTAGTTCCCTCTCTCTGTACAATCCCCATTTAGGTATGCTTGTTGACAGTAAACCTTTTTTTACCTGCCGTCGACATGGAGTTTCTTGCAAAGCCAGGCAAGAATGGTCGTGAGATTTTTGAGTGTTTGGAACAATTTTACGGAAAAAATTCTCTGAAGGAACCAACCGTCAACAAGTGGTTGAAAAAGTTTCAGGAAGGCCGAGAGGTGAAAGATGACCAACGCTCAGGCCGCCTCTCTGCATCGAGCTCTGAGGGAAATGTTGAACTAATTCAGGGCCGTCGATTGTTAGCTGGGGAACTGTCTATCCCCGAAACAATCGTCCACGAAATTCTGACAGAAAACCTTGAAATGAAAAAATTGTGCGCGAAAATCGTTTCGAAGCTCTCGACTCTAGAGCAGAAAGCAAAGAGGGTTGCTTTCCGTGAGGAAGCAGAGGAAAGGGGCGCTTTCTCAGCCGGGTCATCGCTGGAGACGAGTCTTGGTTCTACGAATTCGATGTGGAGCTTAAGTCTCAAAGCATGGAGTGGAATCAAGCAGGAGAACCGAGAACAAAACAGTCGAAAAAATCAAGGTCCAATGTGAAAACAATGTTGATTGTTTTCTTTGATTCTCGGGGCATTGTTCAGCAGAACGGAAATGTCTACGAGGGTGGTCCTAGAAGTACCCGACCCAACGAAGAAAACACAAAAATTTTGTAAAAAAATGTATTTATATTTCAACATAATCAATCTTCTTTGAACTCCATACACTTTTCCCAGCGATGTTCAATAAGTTCGATACCCTTTTTATAATAAGAACCGTCTTGCTTCCCAAATTAGCCATTAACTGCCGACATCACTTCTTCATCGAATCTGGTGAATAGGGTGCATGAGGTAGCAATTCAAACTGTAATTCGTTAATTTTGGTCATTGCAATAACGGATTTGTGAGCTGGTGCATTGTCTTGATGAAAGAACACTTTCTTCTTAACCAAATGCGGCCATTTTTGCTTGATTTCATCGCTCAAACGTTGCAATAAGTTCGCATAATACTCGCCGTTGATAGTTTTACCTTTTTCAAGATAGTCAATGAAAATTATCCCACGCGCATTCCAAAAAACCGACGCCGCAACCTTGCCTGCAGATGAAACGGTCTTCGCCTTCTTTGGAGCCGGTTGTCCCTTTTGAGTCCATTGTTTTGATTGTTCTTTTGTGTGGGGTGTGTAGTGATGTACCCATGTTTCATCCATGGTTATGAAACGACGCAAAAATTCTGCTTTGTTGCTGTGAAACTTCGCTAAACACTCAATTGAAACATCTTCACGACACTGTTTTTGCTCGATCGTGAGCAATCGCGGCACCCATCTTGCACACACCTTTCTCATGTCCAAATTTTCAGATAATATGCGATGAACCGCACTTTTTGAAATTCCTACTATGTCTGCTAGCTCGCGCACTTTCAGTCGACGAACATTCAGTACCGCTTTGTGAATTTTCTTCACCATTTCTGGAGTCGTCACCTCATTTGGTCGACCACTGCGATGCTCGTCTTGGCAGCTCATACGGCCTCGTTTAAACCCTGCTACCCAACATTTTACTGTTCTAAACGAAGGAGAGAACTCACCCAGAGTAGAATCCAGTTCAGCTTTTATATTGGTTGGGCTGAGGCCCTTGAAATAAAAGTATTGTACCACATAACGATGACCAATTTTCTCCATTTTCACAAATTCACTGAAAACGTCCAGTATTGATGGCTGCCAAACAAATACTAAACAACGTGGCGTCTTCAAACTTGACACATAAGCTTTATAGGTTGCATACTTTCTAATACAGTGATATTTTTACAACTATCGCCATCTCTAGGTCAGGCCGGGTACTTCTGGGACCACCCTCGTATTACAAGCCCAAAATAAGAACCATAGCTACTTAATATTCATTAGAGTGTTTGGGGATACGTCTACTAGCAGCATTGAAACTGTTACCTAAGTGAGGTTTTTTAAGATGCAGGGATAATATTACAACTAATGGGTTGAAAAAAAGGACTGTATTCTGGTTCCACAGTGCCTCTGTATTCTATCAGTACCATGACAACTTTGTTAAAGGGGCATGCTCACAAGCTCCTCAATATGTCGTTGTGAATACTTAGAGAATTTCTCAGATATCTTGAAGTCAATATTTTGTTGTTCTATGCAAAACTACATATAGGATGTCTATGTATAATATGTATGCACGTCAAAGTTGATCCTTTTCACAGTAATTGTAGGCGAAATTAAAAATGGCTAGCCTTTTGAAGCGTTGGGGAGCGGCACGTGGGGGATGTGGAATCCATCAAGACAGAAACGGCACGGCAAATGAAGAGCCTCACAATTGAAGACATTCAGCGATCGTATCAACCGTGGACACGGAGTTGGCAGGATAGCATCTTGTCTCAGGGGAATACTTTGAAGGGACCATATTGAAATACCTGAAAAATTGTAAAATAACGTTATTATTCCGCTTTTATACGTATTTTCTGGACAAACCTCATATGAAACACATACAAGGGTATCTTGTACATCACTGATTATCTTCTTTAGACATGGTGTAAGAACAATTTCAGGCCTTGGTCTGATCGTCACATAACTTCTACTTAGACCTTGGCATTTCAAGGTCCAGTATTGTAGCTGCAGAACAAATGAAGTCAGAGGATTGAATGCATGACGATGTATTCTTCAACAAAATGACCCATATTTTTTCAACTGAGATGGATATCATTTAGTTGTTGCATCACGCACAAAACGATTTTTTATAGGTGAATTACAAGCAAGGTTACAGAATTCCATCAGCATAGAAAAGACGACGAAGGACGAATGCATAGAATTACGAACCAAACTGGCAGAAATAGAAGGTTTATACAGCACTGCCAAGCATAAACTTGACATCGTACAAATGGAAGTGGAACGGTTGACTGCAGAAAAGTTAATATTAGAGCAAGAAATGAATAGGTAAATAAAATATGCATTTGTAAAAGAATTGATTCCTGTGCTTCACTCCTGACCCATTTGCAATAAACCCACATTTAATTTATATTTTTTATTTTTCCATATAATCCTTACCGACATCAGCACACTTATTTAATTGATGCTCAAAATGTTTTTCCTGTAAGCCAATTCTTCATGACTTATATCACCCGTTGAAAATGCATTTTCTCTTTAATGTTTTTTCAATTTTGTAATTAGTTTGCAGTTACTGGGTGCGAGATCTGGTGGATATAGTGGATAATCTACCAAAATAAATCGTGTAGACCATAACAATGCAAGATATATGACTGGGAGCATTATTTTGATTAAGTAATTTGCCACTTGTTAAATTCTTCCAACGTTTCTCGCAATTTTCAGATTGAGTTTGAAATTAATAAGAATTTGAAAAAAATTTGGAAATTTTAAAAAACATACCACAAATCGAAACTCTTGATTATAAGTACTTTTGTTGTACTAAAAATTCAGAAAATACGTTACAGTTTAAAAAACTACATGACGCAAATCGAACTAAAAAGTTGAAAATAATTTTCGTGTATAAGGGAGTTAGTGTTACTGCAATAGAAAGTCCAAATATCCTGTATGATTAATTTTCTATAAGATAATACAGGGTGTAAATGTTATGATAGTCATTATTTAAATGGGTGATAGAGGGGCTTAAAAGAAGAAAAAAGTTTTATATAACATGGTGGTCAAAACGGCATTTTTTTTTAGAGAAAAGCGACTTTAAAGTAAAATAAAATTGACAACGCCGCAATGCCAGACGCAAATTACGACTGAACGCAGTGTAAATAAAGATGGAGTTTGTTATTTTTGGTTCTTAGGTATTATTTCATTATTTGATAATGTACTCGTAAAATGCAAACAGTTAAAAAAAATGGACTTACCACTAACTGTCTCCGCGCTTCACCTGGTGTGTGAAAGTTTATTGAACGTTTTAAAAAAAATCCACTTATAAATAGGGAACACAATTTTGATATATACATTGTTTTTCTTTTTAAAACCCACACTGCACTTTTTTTGTATTTAAAGGTGTTCAAAATGTCGTCCTCCACTTTCCACACAAGCTTCATTATGACGAACCCAGTTTCTTCTTACTCTAGGTCCTCGAAGTTGTCTATTTATTATTTCAGCCGCACTAAATTTTTTTTCGCGAAGTTGTGCTTCAGTTGTTATTGGACCAGCCCCATAAACCATCCCATTAAGTTCAATTTTGAAGTTAGGAAAGGATGTCGTTGATATGTAGAAGGAACAATGTTGGAGACAATACCGATCCCTGGGGAACACCCGCGTTGACATTGTGGGATGAAGAGGAGAACCCGTAAATTACAACCGATATCTTGCAGCCACTTATTGTAGTTAAAATACTCGATTCAAGCTCTATAACAAACTTTGATCGGATGCATGATTCTGGAGTATTGAACAACGCACTTATTTTTTCAATGACTTACCACTAACTGTCTCAGCGCGTCAGCTGGTGTGTGAAAGTTTATTGAACGTATTAAAAAAATCCACTTATAAATAGGAAACACAATTTTGATACATACATTGTTTTTCTTTTTGAAACCCACACTGCACTTTTTTGTACTTAAAGGTGTTCAAAATGTCGTCCTCCACTTTCCACACAAGCTTCATTACGACGAACCCAGTTTCTTCTTACTCTAGGTCCTCGAAGTTGTCCATTTATTATTTCAGCAGCATTAAAATTTTTTTCGCGAAGTTGTGCTTCAGTTGTTATTGGACCAACCCCATAAACCTTTAAGTTCTCCCCAATACCAGAAATCCATCGGATTGAGGTCAGGAGATCTTGCTGGCCATTTTCGAGGATCAGGAGCATTTCGATCGATCCAGCGATTTGGACAATGTTCATTCATATACTGAATGACGCCTCTAAAAATGTGTGGTGGTGCCCCGTCATGAAGAAACCACAAATTCTGCCTCCGTTGTAATGGCATGATGTCTAAGCTCTGTTCCAAAAGTTCTGAAAGGTTATTGGCTAGAAAGCTAAGGTATCCTTCTCCTGACAAATTTGGGGGTAAGTCGAAAGGGCCAATTACCTGATCGTCAAGAATACCCGCCCAAATATTTATTTTAAAACGTTGTTGGAAATGACCTTCACGAATGGTATGAGGATTTTCTTGGGCCCACGTGTGAGTATTATGGAAATTTAACATCCCGTTTCGCGTAAAAGCACATTCGTCCGTCGCTAGAATGTTTTTAAAAAAATCGGGATTTTCAATGTTTTTGACAGAATGCGAGGATAGTCTTCTGGTAACAAGGCCTGCAGTCGGATAGGGATAATTCCCGAGTGCTGATATCTGCATTGATTTCCACGATATTTAAAATTTGTTCCTCCTGCTCTACAGTAACCTCTTTCACGAGTGCGAATATTAGTTCCTGTATCTCGAAGTCTTTTGTACACTTGCACAAATGTCCTTCTGTCTGGGTGTACTTTGTTTATTTTTTCTACAATATACTTCTAGATAGTTGCCTTATCATATACAAATGTAATGTAGTTAAAAGATATTAAGTAACCATGATAAAATAAGGACTGTTTTTGGGATTTATAACCTACAGATATTGTTTCCTCAACTTTGATAAAATCATATCAGGAGCAGGTAATAATAATGTAGCTTTGTACTATTTAGCATGTCACTGATCGGTAACCAGTGCAACTTGAATTTAAATCCAATAATTACATTGTAGTGTGTACAAAAGCAGCTATCACTTTTTTCTATTAGAAATAGTACGTGTGGTGCCTTTCTGAAATCGATATTCAAGGATCAATCTTTTTATTCAATATAATGCAGTTATAGACCAGTAGATTTTTGTTTCACCACAGATGGTCAAAGTTGAGGAAACAATATCTGTAGGTTATAAATCCCAAAAACAGTCCTTATTTTATCATGATTACTTAATATCTTTTAACTACATTGCATTTGTATATGATAAGGCAACTATCTAGAAGTATTTTGTAGAAAAAATAAACAAGATGCAAGATTTGAATTCTGACGAGCTTCACCGTAAACTAACAACATGCCGGCGAACTCTTGATTCGAGAACATTATAAATAAACACGACGACGTACGCAAACAATAATTAACCACTGTTACCGTTTGCGATCGATTGCCGATTCGATAAGAGTGATGAAAGATCGACGGGCTGTTGTCATGTGTGTTTTAAATATTTAATTTAATGAAACTTACTGTCTACAAATTTTGGCTTAACTTAGAAAAACTTAATGCCATTTATTTGTTAATTACCCAATTTAAAAACGTTTTAGATTAGATTACAAAAATTAGTAAGATTGTGGTAATTGTGGTCGATATAAGGCACTTAAAGTTGTATAAAGCCAGTTAGACAAAAATCTATTGACTTTTGGACCATGGGTCAAATGAACTTTTTGACTTGTTTTGACACCCCTATTACCCATTTCATTAATGACTACCATAACGTTTACACCCTGAATATAAAAATTAAGATATTAACAAAAAATTCAATTACAGTAACAAATCGTAGGATTCATTTAAAAATATTTCCATAATAACTCCAGTTTTGTAAATAGCAACTAAAACATAATTCTGACATTTAATATCAAGCGTCTTATTCCAAATTAATTAGACATAATTGATTTTTGGACTTTCTATTGCAATAATACAAACTCGCCTATGCTTGAAAATAATCTTGTACTTAGTTCTCATTTGCCATTGAAGCGTGTTTTTTTCAATTGTTTTTTGAACTATATTTTACTGTCAGCAACATTCATCAAATAAGCATCTGCAAACGGGCTTGTACTCAAAACTGCTCCTTAAGCATGCTTATCAACAATTTTCTTTGTTTTTGTATTTTCCAGTAAAATAAATAATTTGAAAGATACCATAAGCAAAAAAGAGGAAGTGATTTCTGAGCAAGACAAGAAGATAAGCAAGTTACAAAAGGAGCTGACCATAGCAAAAACCGTAAAGGAGACGGAAATCCAACCGACTGAGGTGGTTCAGGTAATGATTTTTTGTGTTTACTATGAGTAAAAATTGAGTTTTGAACATCATTGCCTAATTCAATCTCATAGTATTTCCTCTGCTGTAATTTTGATTACGAAAATAATTTTTACGGCCTGAAGGCTTTCGTAAATAATAAAAGTATATTGGTTTTGTTCTTCAGAGTCAAACGAAGGAAAAGACTGAAATGGTACCTGCTGAAGGTAGTTCCCCAAGGACTGACACGAATTCCCCCACATTGAGCCTCGGAAAAGCTTCAGTTTCGGATTCTATGGCTAGCTCATTTTGGTCACAGGTCAGTAATTATAAAGGGTTGTCCAATAGGGACGCAGGAAAGTAAACGTCAATTTAACGTAGACGCCATCTTTGTTTTCTGTCACCGACATGTCATTTTGTTAGTTGAATGTTTACTATTGATCGCTATGGAGTCGTATTCGATTGAAGACCGCATTAAAGTTATTCAAGAGCACTACAAAAATGGTGCAAAAATAAAAAACACGTTTCGCGCGCTTCGTGAACATTTCGGTCGCAACAACCGCACAAACGAAACAACCATCGGTCGTCTGGTGCGTAAATTCGAGGCAACAGGTTCTGTGGCAAATCTGCCAGGCTCTGGCCGGCCAAGGAGCGATCGCACACCGGAAAATATTGCTGTTATGAAGGAGAGTGTGAGAGACGATCCGAAACAATCAACAACGCGTCGATCTCAAGAATTGGGCATTTCGAGAACCAGTTTGCTCCGCATTCTCCACAAGGATTTGAATGTACACGCCTACAAGATCCAATTGATGCAAGAGCTGCGTCGGGCCGACCATTTTTCGCGCCGAACGTTCTCAGATTGGCTCCTTGAACACCGCCAAATCGATGCCAATTTTTCATCAAAAATTATGTTCAGCGACAAAGCGCATTTCACTTTGAATGGGACGGTAAACAAGCAAAACTGCCGCATCTGGGCGAACGAAAATCCCCGTGAGTATCAAGAGCAGCCGATGCATCCTCAAAAAGTGACTGTGTGGTGTGCATTGTGGTCAAAAGGCATCATCGGACCTTACTTTTTCGAAAATGCGGCCGGGGACGCCGTTACCGTCAATTCTGAGCGATATCACGTGATGATAGAGGACTATTTTCTGCCGCAACTTGAAGGAGTGGATATGGACGATGTTTATTTCCAACAAGATGGTGCAACATGCCACACAACCAACGTCAATATCCATCGATTGCAGTCCTTCTTCGGTGATCGCGTGATTTCGCGCAGAGGAAATGTGCCATGGCCACCAAGATCGTGCGATTTGACTCCCTTGGACTTCTTTTTATGGGGATATTTGAATTAGCAAAGTCTACGTCAACAAACCAGCCACCCTCCAAGAACTCAAAAACAACATCATTGCCGAGATAAATGCCATAGAACCGACCATGTTGCAAAATGTCATTGAAAATTTCGACCATCGCGTGGACGTCTGTAAATCCAGTCGTGGTGAACATTTGAGCGATATTATTTTTCATACATAAATGGTATAAATGAACCTTCAAAATAAAGTACCCAACTTGATTTGAATATCAATCTTTCTTGTTTTAATATGCGTTTACTTACTTTTAATAGTGTCGATTTTATGAAAACTTTGGTGGATTTCTTCGAAATACTCTGTAATTACAATGTATTCATATCAATTAAAAATTGTGAATAAATTGATATGCCACAAAAGGAAAATATCCTTGTGTGTGGATATTATTCACATATACACATATAACATACACCTTGGGAAAAAACATTATTATACATTATGATGAGGAAGAGAGATGGAAATATACAAAAGTATGTAGGTGCGTGAAAGACACTCGATTGTAGGATTCTATGTGGCAGCGTCGGAGAGTGACGGACAACGGGGTAAAGTAGAAGAGTGATAAAAGAGAGAGATGGCAGAACGGGCGCTGGCGCCTACCGCTTAGACGGATGCGCTCAACAAATGCGATTTGTTTCTCCCATTCGCAGAGTTGCCGATACCAATATGTCATATTTCTAAGAAATCTAAGTCTACCCAAATTTCGGGAAAAATAGCTGCGGATTCCACATAAGAGTATTCCAAAAATGAAAAAAGTTCAAACTATTAAAATTGTATCAATGTTTCATGGTTCAAATCATATTTTTCATGTTTGTAAATTGTTGTATAAATGATTTTGTAATCCCTATTCTTGTTGCCAGTAGAGATAAACAGTATTGAGAGAAATCATGGACCGCTAGATAGGGCTACAACTACCATATGACTATCAAATAGTAGTGATAAACAGGGTTTGTTTATAGCACAGTCGCCTGGTGTGGCGAATTTGCGCCATAAGGGCGATTTGACAACTTTGAAGGACAACTATAACGGTTACTATGGTGCCCGGTATTCGGGAATCTGGCAATACCTGATGATTCCTAACGTTTATTACGCCAGGTTGTTTGCTGACTTGCGCAGTACAACATGACAATCAACCTGGTAACCCTGGTTTAAGGTGTTATATTTAAAGAGCTTGGGGCAGTTAGGTATCTAGGTCACATTTTTTAATTTATTTCGAGAAATCCGTAATGTTGAGTAAATACTAGATCACGTTTCTTGCTTAGTTTGCTGAAAATTCTACAATAGACGTACATTTTGAGAAACAGAGATTTGGTGACGACACAATCGTAAAAATATAACGCATTTTTGTAAAATAATTTCTTTGTTGAAAAGACTGTGGCTTGATGACCCATTGAACGAGTATAGTGTCCCGCTCCGTTTTGAATATTCGAAACACTATACTCCAGCAGCATTCAGCTTCAATGTTATCTTTATGAAGTTCTAACGTCTAGGCCATGCTGATTAAAAGCTTGAATGAATCAACACTTAACTCTAAATTCCCCACAATTCGGGAAGCTCTACTCAAATTGGCAACACAGCGCATCTGCCTATTATTCTCATTCATGATACAGGTCTGCGGTTAACGGTAGGAAATATGTACGAATAGCGATGAAAGTAGACGAGCCGATGCTCTGTTGCCAAGAAATGATTTCCCATGTATAACAATGGTTTTTCCTAAGGTGTATAGTAGTTACAATAAATTTATTGATGAGGACTAATGTAAATGTAATACATTAGTTTTGTATCATTGATTGATAATGCGGAAAAGATATTTATATGGTATAGTTATATAATTACATCATGATTATATCAGTATTCAATAGCCACTCGTATAAATCAATTTTTCATAATGTTATTCGGTTTTTTGTAATATACGTTGGTAAATTAGGATATAATTTTGGACCTAGGAATATAAATGATTTCAACATTATTTCCTTTTTTATTTATTTTTATTTCTAGTATCATATTCATAATTTTTATAAATGAACGAATTGTTTTTGTGAAATTATAAAATTATAATACAACATAATATACAAATTATTTTTTTTATGTTCAAAAGTTTTGGTTCTATAAACAGCGATTTGGACTGATATAATAGAAGTTCGTAGGCGTTGTTTTTATGAATAATTTCTGTATTGTGTGAAGAATTTGTTATGTGGCATTCAAGTAATGTTCGGTATACAATCTTTAATTGGGTTTCATTGAAGATTTGTCTGTAATATCTGAACTTATATAAGAGAAATCTTAATGTGATTGGATGCTGTAGTTGAGAGTTTTTTTTAAAAATCATCCATATATCATGATGAAACTTTTATTAATGTTTGATGAAATAAGTACCTTCTCCACTCCATAAATGAACCCTAATTTTGTGTATGCTGGTAGCATCGGATCAGCCTACCTGTCAACATCTTGACGCCAATCGTACCAACGTACAATTTTGTTCCTTTTTGTGTGGTGGGAGGTCAAACTGCCAGAAAAGAACATCGATGTACACTGGCAGTTATACAGGGTGCGGCAGGAGAGCTTGCTTTTTCCAAAATTTAATAAGACCTATTGTATGAATCAAAGAAAATATACAGGGTACTCAAAAAGTATGGGTAGATCAAAATACAGGATGCGGCAGAATAACTTTTTTTCAAAATTTAATATAACCCATTGTGGAACAGTGTTGATGATCCTGTGCAACACCACTTTGTGTAGCATCTGGTGGTTCACGATGTAATTTTGACTTTCGTTTTTAAATATTTTTAATCCCTTTTAATTTGTCCCTGACATACAGCTGTGTAGTTTATATTAATTTTGACGAATGTACCATGTATCCAGCTTTCACCAGGTTAGTGGGTGTTTCCCTCAACCTAAACGTTAATAACATTTAGCAACAATCTCACATACTACTCTCCTGAAGAAGATGGCAAAGTCCATTGAAAGCTAGAGATTAATAAAGTATAACGAGTCCCCATTGCTTGAATTTTGTCGAAGTGCCAAACAAAAGACGGAAGCTTTATTTTTCACACTCACATATATATACAGGGTGGCCAAACACGTGACGTCATAAAAAAAAATTAGATTCCCCACATCGAGAGGAACCCAAATCACCCCCATATATATGGTCCGATTTTGTTTAGTTTAGGAGTTATGATTTTTTTTCGGATTTTTCGAGAATTTTTGAGTTCTGTGTTTATTTTTACCATAACTTCGTTAATAATTGTGATAAATGCCTGCTTTTTTCACGATTATGTAGCTAAGACCTAAGGCTTAACTATCATATAATCATTCAAGTCATGTAACTAATACTACTTTTTAATTTTTTTCAAAATCTTCGAACATAACAAAAAAGTAAAAGAGTGCAACAACTTTGAACGTTTATAAAAAATTGAAAAAACATGTTCTTACTATTCGTAAGTATCTTAAAAACTTCCTTACGGTATCAGCTATTTACCGTAAAAATTTCATCAACCTAGCTTTACTACATGCTACCGTAATTGTGGCTCAAATAGAACCGAACCCAAAATTGGATAACCCTCTGCTCAATAGAAATTGTTAGTTTCGGAAAAAAAATTTTCAAAAACCACAAAAACACGTTTGATTTTTACTGAACAGCAGATTATTATTCATTTATGTTATTTACAAGAGGTTTTCAAAATGTCTGCCTCTAACAGAAATGCACAGTGTACACCTACGTATGAAATTTTGTTTTAAATCTCTAAATGCTTGTGTGTTGTTTTTCAACACATGTGTCGCTTCTTGAATTTTGTTCCTCAATGAATTTTCATTTGCACATTCTTGGGCGAATGTTATGTCTTTAAAATATCCCCAAACAAAAAAATCAATGGGGTTGAGGTCAGGGGAGCGTGGAGGCCATCGTATCGGTCCGTTTCGTCCGATCCATCTGTCTGGGAACCTTTCGTTTAAGTAG